ATTCTCTTTTATAATTAAATATATATTTTTCTCAATATATAACAATATTTAATAACTATCACGATAAATAACATACAACTGTTTGTATTTTAACATCGTCCTTGTAGTTTTATGAGTTGATAATTAAACTGAAGCAACCATCTTTGCTGTGAACTAAATTTACTGTGTATCTTCATTCCTTTTGCCATCTTTTTTCAATTGATTTTTCCTACTGGGAAGCTAGAATTTCCGAGGAGAAAGCGAACGCACCATTAGCTGATAACAATGGTAGCAATGGAAGCTAACATACCAAGCTAACGTTATCTTAAACAGTTTATTTAGCTGCTGGAGCAGATTAAAACAATGATGCCTCACACTTAGATCGTTGTCACTGGTTTCGTCTTCACCCGTCACATTTAGTAAAGTGAAGCCAAACTTTAGAGCGCGTTCATGTTCTTCTAGTCGGGAATTCGGAGTTCCGAGGAGAAAGCGAACGCACCATTAGCGAAACGGAAGCTAACATATCAAGCAAATTAAATTTACCTACCGGAGCAGATTAAGATGAGGATGTCTCACTTAGATCGTTGTCGCTGGTTTCATCATCACCCAGTTACCCATCACATTTAGTGAAGTGGACCCAAGCTCTAGCCTGCGTTCTTTCTACCATGCTGCTCTGTTTACAACTGGTTTGCAGCGAGCGACGACATAACGCCCTTGCGCATGCTCAGCTGTCTTGGCAAGTTCTCGTTATGATGGACGGGTACCGAAATGAGGCACCGTTTGAAATGACGTGACTCGGTGCTTGGTCGGTACTATGGAATTCGGTCGGTACCTTAAAAAGTACCGAATTCGGTACCCATCCCTGTGTGTGTGTGTGTGTGTGTTTGGATTCAAAGTTAAATTTGAACCATTATACAGTAACCTGAACCCACAGTGGCCATCTTGTTTTCATTTAATGTCTGCTAGGTCTCGTCTGCTGAATCTAAATAAACCATAAACCACTTTTTATAACTGGCAGAGGAGCAAAGACTCAGAGCATGAATGACTTAAAGGTTGTGTTTAGTGGTGGCGACAGGAAATCGTTTGACTAACAAAGCGTGAAATTCAAAAGGCCAGAGTAATAATAACTTATATTATTGGCTGCACAGTGCCCTGTATCCAGGTTTACTGCCTATCAGCATCATCTCTCTCAGTCTGTGTGGGACTTTATTATCCAAATAAGTCTAGGATTTTATCACATGTTCAATGAGATTATCACAACAGCCTTGAGACTAAATGAAATTTATGTTACATATGAGATATAATCTTGTATCCGTAGAACCTAAAACAGTTTGTTAATATATTATAAACCCCATCAATCCTTTGATACTTTTAAATCAATACTGAGGAACATGAAAGAGAAAAGCCCGTGCCCTCCTGAAACGTTCTGTCAATAAGAGCAAAATGTGATGAAATAAGAAGCCTGCAACAATTTTTCTCTTTCTCTCTGAATAAAACATCTTCAGGTGCTCCCTTTTCTGCTCAATTTGTTCCACACTCTCCACAACTCCAATCCTTTTCAAACCACTCCTGACATTCCCTTGGTGCATCCAAATGGTAGCAAATGCATTCTGATCTACTGTATGCCTGCAGGACCTCTACTTAACCAAACCAAGGAACGCACAAAAGGTTATGAAACTAAAGACGGGAGGAGAATGGATAAATAATGTAAATGTAAGTTATCTAAACTCACAACTGAGTCTTTGTTCAGATGTCTCAAGTGGATCTTTGAAGCTTTGATCACGGGCCTGCAGCCCACTAAGTACCATTCCTGTCTGTCTGTCAGCCACAGCATTGGTTTAACCCGGCAGTGCTGTGGCCTGACTCCAAACATAACGAGGTGTCTGAGGTTGTAGAGCGGTGATGAAGAGCAAAGTGACATCATAGCCTGGTCTGTGGTCAGCTGATGGAGACACGCAAATGTAAACTACTGGTAGAGAGAGAGAGAGAGAGAGAGAGAGAGAGAGAGAGAGAGCGAGAGAGAGCGAGAGAGAGCGAGAGAGAGAGAGAGAGAGAGAGAGCGCGAGAGAGAGAGCGAGAGAGAGAGAGAGAGAGAGAGAGAGAGAGAGAGACCACTGGGTGATGAAGAATATTTATTTTATCGCATCTGAAACAAAAAGAGGACAATTCAGTTTGGAAGAAAACATTTTTTTGCCCAAAATTTTCTTAAGAAATCAGTTGTTTTTTTCATGCCTCGGTAATCAGTCAACTGGATTTAATGAGAGGGATGTTTAGAACCCTGAGGGTGAAACAAGACAAATAAATAAATGCAAGAAGACCATCAAACAAGACTTTGGATTGTGTGAAGACACTGAGGTGTAATAACCTTTCTTTTCACCTTGCCGCATTTTGGTGAGTTGGGGAAATAAATCACAGACGAAGTGCTGATTATGAAACACGCCTCAGATGTGAGTCCAGGTTGCTGCGGTAAATCTAATTGGAGCATCCATCTGAGTCTGACTGATTCATCCAGACTGCAACTATAAAATGACATGTCATCAAATTTAGCAACAAGGTATTTTCACTCCTCTGTTTCCTCATTTGTTTCTCTGTTGAGATGAAAAAGCCTAACAACAGCAGAGGAATACTTAAACGTCCTATGGGACATATAGATCAGCTGGGAGATGTCATTTGGAGGTTGCTCCCATCAGTGATGAGCCATGGGACGATGAAACGGACATATTTATTAAATCATCATTATATAACATTCATCTAATGTTTGGCTTACCTTTCATTAATTTAGCAGTCTTCTACAGCTCCTCAGCGTTGAAAGGGAAGCTTTTATTTTTAATATAGACTTTGTTCTTTTGACTCAGATCCGAGTGAGCCTAACAGCCACCCGCTCTCTCCAGTATCTCCATATCTGTGTTTTAAATCTGAGGGTTTCTTGTGAGTAGAGACCGCATGCACAAATCAGCCCGTAATGATCAAACGTGTTGTGCTGTGGTAGGATTTACAGAGAAGGAGCAGGCCTGAAGCACCGTGCATGCCTGTGCCTTTACCCAGTACACATGAAGCTCCTTAAATTACCTGACTGACAGCGTTAGACACAGTCACTCCTTATTGCTGGTGCTGTCAAGTCAATTTGTGTTTTTTATCCTGCTCTCAATGCAAACATGTCAAACAAAGATGTTCGAAGAATGGTTTAAATCCATTTAAACCTCTAGTGGGCATGAATTCACATTTAAGAGATTCATATTTAAAAATCAAACACAAATGTTTAAAGGCAGGAAATAGGTTTCTGAAAAAGTTGTTAGGGCAGGTTACTTTTTGAATAAACACAAATAAAAGGCCCAACCATATTTCATCACAACCCCCACCCCAGAAGTGTTCAGTTTCAAGTTTTCAACCCATTGTTTGCACATTTTCTGCCATAATTTCTAAAAAGACACACCTATGTAACCATATACCAATTTAGCATGCTAGCTAATATCATGTGGTATTTTTATGGTGAAAAACAAGACAGTTTTTAGCTTTCTTAGTTTATTTAACTTCCAAATCACAGCTTGACAGTGCCACCAACAATCTGGGAAAACCACACGAACAACAGGTCAAAACTTCCAGAATCCGATGTGAACCTCCTCAAACCTGTCCCTCCCCCTTACTCCAAACACAAAAACGTGCATGTTGCCAAAGCAACTAACTGACAGCTCTGCCAGCCGGCAAATGACAGGCTGTGTTTAGAGACAACAGGTCCGTCACCTAAACATTTCCCACAAACAGAATGAGTAAAACAATTTTTTCAGTGAAATTTACAAACAAAGAAAAATTCCATCTGTTGCACTAGTTAGCCCGGCTTCACTTCCTGTTCAGCAGCTCCAAGACAAAAACGCACGATTCGTTCAGATAAACAGTTTTACGCAGAGGGAGAAGCGATTTCAGAGAGTAGTTTGATGGATGGGTTATGATCCAGTCGCATTAGGAACAAGAGGTTCGGACTATGTGTTTCAGAGGCACTGAAAATGATTCTCTCTTTTGTGGTTTTTCTTTTTTTTTTTTGGACAAATGTTTAATTTATTGGTTGCCATCAGTATGTAAAGAGCCTTTCAAACAATATGGCAAAAAATGCTCCAGATAAACCTTACCCTTTAACACATTAGACTACGGACATGTCAGATACAGATCACCACAACCCCAGAAAGTCTGAAAGTACTTCAAGAAAAGGTTTAAACTCCCAGAAGATCCAGAGGGGATTATAATAATGCAAAGAGATAAAAATGCTCGAAGCACAAATGCATATGCAATCCACACTTCTGCTTCGGGAAATCCAGAGCTCCCGTACTAAACACCACACATAAATTGAAAGCTCCCTGAGATCAGTCGGGTAAATTACTGACTGCAGTGAGATGTTACTGACGAGGCACACAACGTCTTGAATCACAAATCTTTCTAGTCCCCGAAGCAGACTGTCCCTCTAGAACAACACAAGGCTTTAGATCAGCTTTTTGATTTAATTACCCACACGAGCTGCAGCAGATGTTAAGTTGAAGCCCAGCCTTCCTCTAAAACACCCCAACAACAGAAGCTGGCTTAAATAGGGAGCAATATCCCCTCCAACGACGTCACCAAGCTTAACGGGGAAAAGTTCTTCTTCGTTACGTTTCACACACCTGGCCAGCCACAGAGGGGCTGGAGTGCAGCAGCTGTGCAGAACAGAGGCACTGCACCAAACCTGGTGGCACGCTGAGCGTTTGAATCCAATCACTACTTCTCCTGCTGTGTGTGTGTGTGTGTGTGTGTGTGTGTGTGTGTGTGTGTGTGTGTGTGTGTGTGTGTGTGTGTGTGTGTGTGTGTGTGTGTGTGTGTGTGTGTGTGTTACAACCAATCACAAAGCAGTCCCAACTGTGCTTCTCTCAGCCAATCACCTTGAGGTGCTGCTGAGAGTCAAACAGGACGTCTTGATTTATATCAGATCTAAAAAAGTAATGAAATCTGCAACACCATGCAAGATGTGCAAAGTACTATCAATGTGCGTCTCATACCTGAGTCTCTTGTTGTGCTGTTTGACCTTATCCAGTGAAGCAGCGTTAATCTGGGCCTGGTATTCCTCCACGGACACGTTGTCTCTGTAGTAGTAGCCCTCCATGCTCTCCAAAGCTACAGGGAGAATCAATAAATCAACATCCTCTTTAAAGCAGCTTCAAACTGCTATCAGACGTCCGTTTTCTGATAACTCCATCGTACCTTGTGTGAAGAGCACAGGGTAAATTTTGACACCTCCTCCATTTTTCAGGCGGTAAGGGAGCAGCGAGAAGTAGCGACTCTCAAGGTAGAAGCAGACCTTCAAGGCCTGGCGGGTCCCCTCCACCTGGTGTGAGATGGGCATATCTGCACAAGAAGATGAGAAATAAATCCAAGCACATCATTTTTATGTATTTTATGCTTAAAAGTTCTTAAGTAGTGACGTTAATGTCTAGCAATAAAAGTGAATTGTCAGAAGGAACATTTTATTTTATTTGGCTGCCTTGGTTGTAAAAGCTGTTCAACTGAATTAGAAATATAAAGTTTGGAGAACATACTGGCAACAAGTGGCTCTCCTTTAAACTGCTGGAAGTGGAAAGTGACCTTCTCCAGGTCTACCAGGGCCACCTGAGTGTCCTCCAGCATGGCTTGTTCATCCGTCTGAAGAGAAGAGCATTGCTTATATCAAGGAAAGAATGTGATTTACTTCATGCAATGCTGCAACACACGTCATTTCTCCTAATTCCAGTAGCTCTGACTGTTCTATCCACGCAGTTTTTACACCCATTTGGCCCTGTCCAGGGAGACGAGGAGCTGCCAACCATCGACGACGAGTCAGCTGTCCATTACAGGTGCACAAAAACTCATAGCAAAGACTTAATTAGCATCTACAAACATGCATGATTTTGAACTGTGGGATGAAACTAGAGAAAGTACAGGTGAACTTGTGAACTTCATAAAGAAAACTACTTTGATTTTGTGTTTCAAGAGAAAAAATAAACAAAATAACTCAATTTTTGATTCCTGTTCAAAAACTTTCCAGTGAGTCACACCCTTGCCGAAGTCGTTCCTTTACATGACTGCCCTTACACACACACACACTAGGGTTGTCACGATACTAAAATTTCAAACTCGATTCGATACTTGAAAAAAAATCTCGATACTCGGTTTCGATACTATTTAAAAACACCAATTTATTGAACAAGTTTATTAAAAAATAACATTCCTCAATTTATATTACAAAAATTAAATGTTAAGAATTAAGTGTGTAAAGTGCTTAAACCTTTCAAGTATCAGCATTTTTTAAAACGTGCATACAAAAACTGACGAAAGTTAACACTTTAAATCATGAATTGTCTCACTATACCGTAAATCCTCCAATACAGGCCGGTATTCAATTAAAAGCCGGGTCTCCAATTGTGGCCGGTGTCGGAGTCGGCTGAGGTGAATAGTGGCCGGTCTCTTATTGTGGCCGGGTGGAATGTGGTAACAGGCAAGTACCACAGGGGGGCGGTAGTGCCATTCGTCTCACTTTTGATTTGCCGGTGATAGACCACGAGGGTAACTACGGTGAACATGGCTGGTGCGGAGCGTGCAGAGCCGAAGAGGAGGCGAAATTTCGATTTAAAGTTCAAAGAGAACGTGCTGATTTATGCTGCGGAACACTCTGGGGAGCAAGCTGCTAAACATTTTAACATTGACCCAAGAAGAATCAGGTACTGGAAAAAGCAGAAGATGGATCTAGCCGCAGCTAGCAAGAAGCGAGCGAGGCTCCCAGGAGGAGGGAGAAAAAAGATTAGCGAAGAATTGGAAACGGAGCTTTGTAACTGGATCCATTTAATGAGGGCAAATCATAACCGAGTGTCTAGAAAAATGATCCGAAACAAGGCTTTGGAAATATATCCAACCATGAGTGATGCAGGTGCGCGATTCCTGGCAAGCAGGGGTTGGCTGGAAAAGTTTTTGAACCGAAATGGCTTCGCTTTGCGACGTCGCACCACAATGGCGCAGAAGGACCCCGATCTTCTCACACAGAAACTTGTCTCATTCGTCGACTATGTGAGTAAGACTGTCGTCTCAAAAAGAATTTCAGAGAAGGACATAATTGCCATGGATGAGACTGCTGTTTGGTTCGATATGGTGTCTCCCAGCACCATTGATGTAAGAGGGACAAAAAGTGTCGCGCTCAAAACAACCGGCCATGAGAAAAGCCATCTCACTGTTGTTCTCGCTGCTAAGGCTGATGGCTCTAAACTGAAGCCTTTTATTGTTTTCCGTGGGGCCGTCCGTGAAGTGAAGGCAATGCAGCAAGAAATCACCAGAGCAGTCATTGCTACATCTGCTAACGGCTGGATGAATGACGACTTGACCTCAGCCTGGCTCAAAACAGTGGTGGGAAAATTCAGTTTCCACCCGCGCCTGCTGGTGTGGGATGCGTACCGCTGTCACATCAGCGCCTCCACCAAGCAGGAACTGAAGCCCTACAACATCACCACCGCGGTGATCCCAGGAGGCTGCACCAAGTACATACAAGCCCCCGATGTTGTGTGGAACCAGCCCTTCAAAGCAAGCCTGCATGCGTCTTATGAAGAATGGATGTCTGGCGACACAAACAAGCAGTACACAAGTGGAGGGAACCTGAAAGCACCATCTCGCCGTCTGCTTGTGGACTGGGTTCTTGCTGCTTGGGACAAGCTGGACACGGAGCTGGTCATCAAGTCCTTCAAAGTGTGTGGCCAGTCTGTGAAACCCGACGGGAGTGAGGACCACCTCATACTGTGCTTCAGAGACGGACAGGTACGTTGAAATAATGTATTATTATCAGTCTAATTCATCTACCATTAGGTGAATTTATTCGTGAGTGAACCTTTCCACTGTTACTTGCAATTGCAGCTAAACTAAAATGTAATGTATCGTAATCTTTGCAGCCCTGCGCTGCTGGACGGCAGGCCCTGACCACTGCCCGCCTGCGCCAGGATGAGAACAGACGTGCAGAGGAGAATGAGGAGGACGAAGAGGAACTGTTCAATAATGAACTTGTTATAGAGGATGGCGCAAGTGATGAGGAGACGACAGGGAGAGATGAGGAGGAGGACACTGAGGACGAGGAAGATTAAGCTGAATTGGACCCCCCCACACACACACACACATTTTTTTTCCATCAAACTGGATGAGGATTAAAGTGAATTGGATTATTATTTTTTTATATTTTATTTTACTTTAAACAGGACAAATATTGAATTGAATTTGAGGGGTTTTATTTTATTTTTTGCTACAACTGAAGAGGTAAGGTGGCTGTTGCCTTTTCTAATACCGGTATTATTTAATAACATTTAATATACAATACAGGTATGTTTGCTATTGTTTTGTTACAATACAGTATTTCCCTACTGTAATTTAGCCTTGTTAATGTTTTATATGCAAACTGTACCACGTTATGGTAACTGTACATGTTCAATAAATGAACCTAGTATTTTATAGGTTCAAATAGACACCCCGTTTTTATTCATTCTACTGGTAGTTCGTTTTGCTCAAATAGAAATAGAGGCCTGCCTCTAATACTGGCCCTCCCTCCAATAAAGGCCTGGGGCTTGAGGAGCTTGAGTCAAATACAGGCCCGGGCCTGTATTAGAGGATTTACGGTATATACACTATTTGCAGAGTGATGTTTTGATTCTTAAACTCTGTTTGAGCATCATTTTTGTCATAAGCTGTAATGCCATATGTTTTGTTCTGTACTTTTGAACAACTCTGTTGGTCAATAAAGGGAGAAACGAATTTCTCCACAGTAGGACAAAGGTACATCTACCGGTAATCTTAATAAAAACAGACTGGCGCACGGCAGTGACGTCATTAAAAGCGCCAGTTAGATTAGCCACGGCTAGTCTGTTCACGCCTAGAAATCCCAGACTCGCTCCACACGAACAGGGGAATCACGTTAATTATTCCTAACAAAACCTTTCGACATTGAGATGTTTTGGTGCAGATAATGTCTTATTTCGAGGCTGCACCATGGGTGCCCGTCCGCACCCGTTATATGGAGGCTGGTGCATCATTTCCACTGACGGCTATTCGCCGATGGATCTACGGTAAATACCCCGGGGAATCCAAGTAGCACCAAAGTTGTCAGCGTGAGTAAACAAACGTACTGCATGCTAGAAATTAAGTCCGGGTTGCAATAAACGGGAGTGTTCCTTTAAGCACATAAGCATGAATATACAACTACGTGTCGGACTTGGTATGCTAATTAAGTTGGGCTGTGAAGCGCCTCCCAAATTCGCTGTTTATGTTTTTGTTTATTTATTTGGCAGACAAAACTTGGATCGGAGACAACTCGCGTGGGAAGTTGCAATGTAGCCATGCGGCGTCTTCTTCTTCTGTTTGTCTGGGAGGCGGAGGCTGCTTTACGGCGTCTGGCTGTCGTGCGTGTCGGTGTACTTGAAGAAGGCTGTGTATAATAGTCCATAATATCGATACCACAGGGATGGAATATCTAATTTAGATACCACTTTTAGCATCGATTTATATCTAGGTATCGATTTTTTTGACAACACTAACACACACACACACACATGCGCGCGCACACACACACACACGTCTCCACGTTTGCTTTAGCTTGTTTATATTTGTTTACATTTTCAAATAAGAGGGAGTATGTGCTTCCTTTTCAAACTGCCTCTCACCAAGACAAAAAGTCACACATGTGCTTGTTGTTGCAGCAAAAGGAAGCTCGTATATTTCTGTGTACATCTATCATCCCCCTTTCTTCTTCTTCTTCTTCTTCCAGTTCTCTCTTCCTGTCCCCATCAACCCGGCAGAGAGCAGAGCAGCCGTGGAAGAGGATCAGGGGCCGTTTTCTAAAGACACATTTGAGATGGTACAACGTGTGACCAGAGGGGCACCCCAAGTGATGCCTTATGGATGTTTGGGTAAGGTCATCACAAATACAGTCACAAAAAGACACACAGACGTTATTCAGTGTACATAAACTACAAACACACATGAAGTGCTTTCAGCAGACTGCAGGGAGAATTTGATGGAGTTGCCCTGCAGCTACTGAGATCACTTTTTTTTCCTCAGTGGCGCTTGAAAAGAAAATGTTTTGGAAAACAGGGATGCCTGACTCAGAGTCAAAAAAGGAACACTGTGACCCAAATTGACTAAACCGTTGCAAAACTTTAGCAGATGCAAATCAGTATTTATGCATTCATCTAAATCCCTTGCAAAGGGGTACAGTGTAGCCACTCTCTGTGCTGGTGCATCATTTCAGGGCTGCATGATTGAGAATTTGTTTTATCGTGTCGCAGAAAGAAAGTTGCAGGTTTAAACCCCAGCTAGGGTTGTGTATTGGTAAGAATTTGGTGATACGGTAGGTATCACAATACACAATAAAATATACCACAATACTAATAGTTGGATGATAAATGCAGTTTTTTTATTTGAAAACACAGGCCAGACGTTTCCAAGGCACATCAGTCTCATCTTGAGATATCTTCGTTTCGTGAGAATGAAGGTGGTAAAAACTGCTGCCACCTAGCTGTTGGAGTTTGAATTGCACCGCACAGAAGAATTGCAGTACAGTGGTCCGCAGGAATTATGTTCTAAAAATAACCCACAATAGGGAAAATCTATGAAGTAATTAGCTTCATTGTTTACTATTATCATAGATGTTTGTAGCACACGCAGGTACTATTTTGTAGCCTAGCCTGCCAGGCTTGTCCTCTGTTTAATTCTGCACAGAGAACAAGTCTGGTAACTCACAGGCAGAGAGGCACTTGAGGGGCAGGACTAGGTAGCTCAAAAGTAACCAATCAGAAAAAAGATGGCAATCCCGACTGTGCCGCACAACGCTGTAGTTTTCTAGCTGTAGTAAACAAAATAGCGTCTAGCAACAGCGCAAACATTTTTATTCAAATTTTTTTTAGAAGAAATGCTTTTAGCGCTTCTACTTGTGGTTTTAAAGACATTTGAGTCATTTAGAACAGAGGAAAGAGTCGCAGCCATCGACATAAATATATGGATAATGGGTTTCCATAGGCTCCAATAACACGTTTTTGTGCTAAAATGGGAGGTGGCCACCACCGCCATTTTGACTGTGTCACAGGTTCCGTCAAGCCCAGACAATTCCATAAAAGGGAAGAGAGGTGGAGCTGAGGGTGGGGCTGTAAGGCTGGGATCGACTGACGACACCCGGTCGAACTAGCTACAAGCTAACCTGAAGCTAACCCAAAGCTAATGCGGAGGTGGGAGCTAAGCTAACAGAGGTAGCAACCTAGCTACAACCGGAGTTAACTGTGCACAACACCAGAGCTTCTGAGTCAGAGATACGCCGGGCTGACCGCTGGGTAAAACCGGGTGGAACACAGAGGTCTCCGAGAGCTCCAGCCGCACAGCAGACAAGCGCCGCTGTGATCTGAGATGCACAGAGCTGCCGCTGGGGAGAACCGGGTGAAAAGGTTTCCATCCCAGAGCTCCACAAGCCGTCAGCCCGCGCAGCACACAGACGCCGTGATCCAAGGGATAAACCGTCAACCCTGCTCAATGGTCAACTTTCCTTGCGGGGTCACACCCATTAGGACAGTGGGAGGGTTAAACCCCAAATGGAAGTTCATTTTATTAGACACAGATTTGGAGTGTGTGTGAACATAAACTGGTACGTAAGCTCACCAGATTGGGGGAGAGGAGAGATTGGAAGTGAAACAGCAGGCCAGCACAGGCGATTTGGTCCAGCCACCGGCGGCTGGCTTCCTGCGCCTCCTGAAGCTCCTGACAATCCGGAAAGTCCTGGTCCAGCTCTTTTCCTACATTGTAGAACTGAGTGAAGGCAAAAAAATAATAATAATAAACAGTAAGGGTAAATCTGAAAAAACCGTGTGAAAATCTATAAATAAGTGTGTTTTGTATATAATTTACCTGGTTGAGGACAGAAAGCAGGTGCTCTGAGAAAGCACACACAGCTGCAACTAAAGACTGACAGAACACCATGTCTCTGCGTAACTGGATCTCTGAGTCTGGAGAGAAAATAAAAGTACACAAGAGGTAGTAAAGGAAACCCCGGTAGCAAAGGAGGCTTAAAAATGATGAAAAGGCAAATAGTCATACTGACAGATGAAACATGAAGGTATAACGTGATAAGTTCAAAGATTAGCAGAAGAAACAGACATCCAGACAGTCTGGTGTGGGTGAAACGCCCACTGAGGTGACCAGAAAGCTTGGCAGCTTGTTTCAAATGTGTTGGGTATTAAATAATGTATCAGAGAAAAACGAAGGCAAATGAGAGGTGTGCTCATGTGAAAATAATTAGCTGACAAAATTTCTAGAGAAATAGACCTTTCTAAAAGTTCACCAATCCACTGAATTAAAAATGACTTCCTGAATTTGTCAGAAATTAATCAAGTGTTAATCTGACTCAGACATCCGTTAATAGTTTGCGATTGTAGCAGAAAAGTTTTATCTCCCTAAAATATGTTTGTTCAAAGAAATATTTTTTATTCTCTTTTATTCATTTTTGTTTTCTCATTTTGGGAAAGTTTTTTGGCTGCACCGCGCCCCTACATTTCAGGAGTTTTGTTGTTTCGTCCAATCAGATTTCAGTCTCTGTTGTTGCTAGGGGGAAATTAATCTGCCCAAGGCCTTCAGAATCAGTAAAGCAGGCCTACATTATATGCTTTATAGCAAGGGAGCTGTTTACTTTTAACCAATTTGGCCTTGCTGGGCCAGCTAGCTCACAGACATCATATACACAGACACCCCATGGACTGGTGCTGCCTATTGGCGCTGGCTGAGCTGTGGTCCGCCATCTTGGATGGGTCTCCATTCACACCCAGTACATTTATTTCTATTGAGGAAGGTGTTTACCCAACTAAAAATCATATTTTATTATGCTTTTTCATTCAATTCAATTCAAAGATACTTTATTAATCCCAGAGGGAAATTAGAGTTTCAGTACACACAATTCTGAGATCAGACAGACATACATACATACATAGGCATAGACACATGACAAGAATTGGTGACTGTGGTCATTCGCAACCCGAGTCGTGCTACCTTGATAGAGATCAGAGGGTTTACATGAGGACTGGGTCAGGTGGAGGGAAAAAAGGCACTTCAGAATTACCCTCCACAGGGAGGGCAGCTTTGCTATGCCAAAAACACCTCAGACAGAAATGCAACAGACTTCAGACATTACACAACATAAGTGTCCACTGGGTGGGGAGGTAGGGTTTGGGACTCTCCACATATCAGTACATGCAGCCGCAATAAGGAGCGCTCGTCACCTCCGTTTGGACGGGGAAGGAGGTATTTGGGTTAGAGAGCACAGTGACTCCTGGAAACGATTCAACGGCCTTTACGGGTCGCAGTCCTGCCCAGGCTGGGATAGGGAGACAGAGTTACCATGGCGATGGCAGCATTCCACATTTCTTCTGAGGGGGAGTAATCTCTTCAGCCTCACAGGCTCAAGGGCTCCAGGTTCAGATAAGAACTTGTTTTGGGGCCAGACAGAGATAATTTCCTCTCTGTCTTTAAGTTCTGTTGATCTCCAACCTCTCTAAATCCAACAATGGCATAAATTAATCTATCCAAATCCGTGCTGATCCGTCAACTCTATCCTTGATGGCATCAACCTTCTGTGCCAGAGTCTGAATCTCAGCCAAAGTTCCAAGCTTACGACTCATCTCGACAATTTTTTGAGTTTGTGCATTCACAACGCAGTGTAATCCATCCCTGAGCTCCGAGATTGAGCCAATATTCCTCGACAGCTCATTAATTTTCCGGTAAGCCAGGTAACCGCTCAGGCCAAACAGCACGAAACCTGACACCAACACCACGAATATCCAGAAGTCTTCAGAATCCTCTACAGACAGTTGAGAGAGGCAGATCAGGTTCCACTGTTTCCAGGAGTCCATGATATACCCAGCTGGCTCTGTCCCAGAGGGACATCCGGGAGCCCCTTCTCCTGTTCTCATTGTTGAAAAATGTTTGTCAATCGCGTTGAGAGACCAACTGACCAGGTCCATTTTAATAATTTCCAGTTTCCAGAAAAAATGCTGAAGCGCCATACACCCAAAGACAGACAAAGAGCCTTGGGATAAGATGGGGAGGAGAGGAGGAAAAAAGCGTCTGAACTCTCCAAGAGCCAAAAGAAGAACATAGCCATATGGCACAATAGTTACGATTTAGATATAATGAAATAAAAATAAATAAAAATATTAAATCCCAACAGGTAGGCAAGAAAAGTAAGTAAGTAAAAGTTTATTTATATAGCGCCTTTCACAGATATAAATCACAAAGCGCTGTACATGATAAAGATCAGGGCAAATACCTCTAACCAATAAAAACATCAGAAAAACAATAGCAGTGATAAACGTAGAAAATAAAATCATGAGTATAAACAAAGTGAAGGTGTGAACCCGAACAAAGCCATCTTTTTGAAACATTTAGGGAGGGAACGCCTGGATGAAAAGGTGAGTTTTTAGATGATTTTTAAAGATCTCTACAGTGTTAGAGTGACGGAGATTTCTATAGCAATCCCACGTGATCTGTTTTCAACAGTGTGAAGGTTGCACAAAAATGGCCACAGTTGCTCGCCTTGCGTTGACTGCAGTTGGATTTTGGAGAGTGAGGAAACCGCCCAATGTGGCGGCAACATTGTTACACTCTCCAGCGCCCAATGGCGTGTCTACATATTCATATCAATGAGCTAGCTGGCTTACGATGATGTCGGGGTTTCCGGTCCTCTGTTTGCTAGCAAAAGAAGTCCTCATTGATCCTCATTACAACTTTTTTGGGGTTTATGCCCACAACTGATGAAGGAGAAAGGGATTCGGTTGCAGGAAATATTAAAATTCCATTTCCATGTCGGACTATTTTAGAGAAGCTGGATGTCGTTAGACATGTTAGCTTAGCTTGCACAGAGATTAGCTCTGTAGAAATGAGGATGGATAAATAATCAACAACTCCTGAGAGTTTTATGTTGTTTTACAGATATAAATAGTTAATTATGAATAATATACTTAAATGTAAATATGACATTTTGAAGTGATGTTAATCTGTTTTGTAACTTTGATATTTAACCTTTAGTTCTAGTCGGACTGCGTAGCAGGAGATCTTTTGAATGGCCTGTATTTGATATAGCGCCTTCTAGAGTCCTAGAACCCCCCAAGGCGCTTTACAACACAATCAGTCATTCACCCATTCACACACTGGTGGGGATGAGCTACAATGTAGCCACAGCTGCCCTGGGGCACACTGACAGAGGCGAGGCTGCCGAGCACTGGCGCCACCGGTCCCTCCGACCACCACCAGCAGGCAAGGTGGGTTAAGTGTCTTGCCCAAGGACACAGCGACAGCGACAGAGCGGGACTCGAACCAGCAACCTTCTGATTATGGGGCGAGCACTTAACTCCTGTGCCACCGTCGCCCCACATGCTTTTCAGGTTGTCGTAGTTTCTTTACAAAAATAATAGCAAACATTTTTAAATTCAGTTTTTAATCTACTGTGATTTGAGAGGAAGGTCAAACGAACCCGAATACTGCAGCAGCACCAAGAGCAGTCGAGTCTTCACCTCTGAAAACAACAATTTCACACACAAAAACACAGTTAGCGATGAACTTGTCGTCCCACAGTTGTTATATTCTACATGATCAACGCCTTCAAGTCAAACATTTTGCTCATGAAAAAAAAACGAAGGAAAGAACAGGGAAAGATAATAACACAAAACTACATTTTGTTTATAGTCATATCAGAGCTCTGGGTAACAAAACAAAAGGTCAGACTGAGTGAAAAAATCCTCCCTGGTGGGAAACTAAAGCTGCACATTAATAACAAGTGTTTATTTGTGTTTGCTCTGTAGCGATCAGCAGCTCACCTTTCCCAGGAGTGGCTGGTTTCAGGTTCCAGCTGTTTGCATCTGGATGTTTGGCTGTGTGCCTGTGCGTGTGCACATGCCATATGTGTTTGTGGACTCGGTCAGTGTGTCAACAAACAAACCCACTCGCTGCTGCTGCTGGCAATAAAAACATGCCTCACCAGACTAAAATTAAAAGGAGCTTTTCAATTATTCGCTAGTTTATAGCTCCAGCTCTGTGGGCCCAATTTGCGGGTCCCAGGATGGGTTTGGAGTTTTAAAGCTAGTCAAGCAATTACCGAGAGAAACAGTCTGGTGTTACATTTTAATAAATAGGATGGGATGCACTGAAGAGCAAAACAATTTAAAGTGCTTTTCATCCCAGCCCAGGTATATTTTCCATTTAAACTCTGACTGTGCACAAGCTCCAGGGCTTGAACATTTCGGTTTTGAGAGTATTTTTGCTACATTTGAAGCCGTTAAGGTACACACTGACCTTCTACGTATTTAGAAATGGTTTGTGTGAGCGCCTGAACGCTGTTGGGAAGATTCCACGGATCCTGTTTGATATGGAGACGCAGCTTTTTGGTGCAGTTCACGCTGGGCTCCATCTCCTGCTGAAACTCTGACACAAACACACATTTACATAATTAGAACAGAACCACTCCATGTAGATGAGTGAATGAAGCAATGTGAGCAAAAAGGCTCATTTTAATAGAGAAGATGTGGATTGGCTTACATCCATGTTTTACATGTGAATGAGGAAAAAAACATAAAAAGTATTTAATTAAAACTGTAAAAGTCAATCTGGGGTTGGTAGATCAGAGAAGAAAGCAGGGCTCTGTAAATTTGATTATATATATATATATATATATATATATATATATATATATATATATATACATTATCTTTGTTAAAGACCAAGTTCTATAGCTTTTGTAACACATTTTCAGTGGTCTCTAGTATGAGTGGATGCCTCGTGAGTCAATCTCTGTGGGGAATAAAGTTCTGGTGCTCATGTTTCAAGGAGTAATGGTGAGCCCGAGGACAGAGGAGCAAGACGGCAAGATTTGGTATCTTACTTCCTGATATTCGAGCATCTCGCCTCTAATTGGCTAACAGCGACATGACTCTACCCCTAGACTCTTTGTTTGCTCTGCAACATTAATTTTTTATCTCCACAAATGACACAAGCCTGGAGAAGTTCTGCTGTGTGGTAGAAATGCTAATGCTAATGTTAGCTTCCTCTAGTTGAGAGGTTCTCTGCTGTTTCCTGGATGCTAAACCTCTATTTTCTATAGGAGGCTAAAGCAGGAGATAGGCGTAGGAGACTATTTTCATGTTCAGCCTGCATGAAGAACTCAGGGTGATCGATTATAATCAGAAATAAGATTTTAAAAAGTGTCTTTCTGTGTTCCATGCCTTTGATGTTTTCATTTTTGAATCTGTCCCAACTTTCTGAAATGCATTTTTCCAAATTGGCTATATTAACAAACCATTACTAGTAATTAAAATATCAGAAAATGAAATATTTAACAGTTTCAGTTTCACTCACCTCTACTTAGTTTTATTTCCATGCCCATCTATGTCAAATTGTTTCTTGATCTAGAAATATAATTTCGTTCTTTTTTTTCCCTTTTTTTTTTAGCAGAAAACCTGCTGTGGCTTCATATAAATCCTTTAACCATCACGTTTGAGCAGCAGCGATACACGAGGATAAACATTTCAGCCTCATGTAACCCGTCTCAAAGCAGCTGAAAATACGTCTGATGAACCCTTCAGAACCCAACCCCTTAGAAAATAGAGAACAGAGTGAACAAAGTAAACGGAATTCATTAAAATTTGAAGAAAATAATTGCTGATAAAACTAGATATAGGTCATTTGGGGTTGTCACACTTAGGTGACGCGAGTTGAAATGTTGCAGATGGGCTGACACCTGTGTCACCACGGCATCTGAAGAACAGATCTATGATAAAAAGATAAAACTGAGAGTGGGTGTGTGTGTTTCTGTGCGTGCACATGCAGAGTGAAAGAATGTAGGATCAAATGAAGGAATGCTATAATCCCTGTTATCAACCACACCCGTTTATGAAGTTGAGAGGGATCAGCGATGATCAAGGCCCCACATGCCTTCTGAAGGCACACAAACGGGCCCGTTTTCAGTTCAAGCAGATCTGCAGTCGCTGGAGGATAGAGAGAGATGTGTGTGTGTGTGTGTGTGTGTGTGTGTGTGTGTGTGTGTGTGTGTGTGAGTGAGTGAGTGAGTGAGTGAGTTAGTGAGTGAGTGAGTGAGTGAGTGAGAGAGAGAGAGAGAGATAGAGAGAGAGAGAGAGAGAGAGAGAGAGAGAGAGAGAGAGAGAGAGAGAGAGAGAGAGAGAGAGAGAGAGAGAAGTCTGAGTGCCAAATGGGTCGGGGTGTCTAGAGGCTTGAATTATGAAAACCGACTGAATAAACTCAGCTATCTGCGGTTTTGCTGGAGAACACCACCACACATTAAAGTCACGCTCAAGGACAAAGACTTTACTACAGCGGGTCACACACCGGCAGTGTTGGGCAAGTTACTTCAAAACTGTAATACATTATTTATTACTTGTTACCCTCATTTTAAAGTAATTCATTACATTACAATATTACTGATTTTAAAATGTAAGGCATTACACTACTTTTGCATTACTCTAAGTTACTTTCAACAAAACAACTTCAGTATGAGTTTGGTAATCTGATGCCTGGTGAACTCATGACACATCCGGTGGAAGGTGATGTGGTGTCTGAGCTAGGATTGCTGTTAAAAACAGTTCTTTAGAAGGATTGTTTATGAAATAAATGAAACAACAATCTGTACTCTCAACATGCTGCCATCTTAGATTAACTGAGCAGGGAGTGAGGTGGTGGGGGCTCCAAGTCTATTTAGCCTTGGTCCCCAAATGCCTTGATACGGCCCTGGATGTGGGACTGGCTTCTGGGGTGATCTGATTCTATCACATGTATAAATATTAAATGCTTATATATTATTGCTTTTCACTGGTAAAAATGAGTATTGGGGATAAATCTACCTACTTTTTTCTTTTCAAGCACTTTGTTTTGTTTTCTTGATTTTATTTGAATAATTTCCTGCCCTTTCTCTCTCGAACCTTCCTGCATGCTGCATGTTTTCTCCGTCTTCCAGAAAAAACCGTTTCCTAGACTTCCTACTTTCTATCAGCCAAAGGAATCTTCACATGCGCGTCGCTCCAGCAGCAATGAGTTAAAATCACCGGGGCCCAGATTAACTCAGCTGAGGCAAAGCACGTCAGAAAAGTACAGAATACCAGAGAACATGCGCTGATATGAACGATCGCAGGTGAATTATTTTGTTTTAGTGGAGCGATTTTGTGAATGTTACAGCGGCCGCGTGGAGGACGCCGCTGGAGTATTTGAGCCGGGTGCAGAACAGAACACCGGTACCGCTGCGTCCTCTCTGCCTGCAAAGCGGAGTCCATAAATGACGTAATATATGCAGATACTGGATCTTTCTTCGGGTTTCCCGCAATTTGAATTTTTAAGAAACGCATCTTGATTCTGGGTTTAAAATGCATTGTAATTACCGCGTTACTGACAATTGTACCGAGTAAATATTACCATTTTCTTTCCCTGTAATGCCTTACATTACCACATTACAACAAAAAGCAATGCATTACAGTAATTAATTACTTCTGTACCGCATTACTCCCAACACTGCACACCGGACAACATTTCTGGGACAAATGTGTGATTTTCTCGTCTGTTTTATCTAAGAAATGGTTCAAGTCATCAAAACCACCTTGATGAACGCTGAAAACCGCTTTTTCTTCTTAGCCACATTCCACTGTAAGTCATAAAATCTGACAATAGACAAATAAACTGGCGAGGCCAGGATGAGAGCAGGTCATGGCCGGTTTTTACTGACCTAACATCAGTTTCAACACTAAAAAAGAACAGAATGATGCATAAAGAAGAGGAACGCCTGAAAAAAAATGTGGGAATTTTTTCTTTTTAATTCTAGAATCCACCCACAACACGTCTTCCCCCGTGTGTCTACCATCGCATTACACAACAGGAAGTCGCAGCCGCTTTGTGTTCAGCTCCTGCTCCGTTTTATGTGAATATTGGACTCAAGAGTCTTTTATGTCATCGTTCTCCTCCCAGGCTCACATCAGGGGTCGGTCTCTCAGGAATCACATATGTGGAAGACAATTTTTGCATGAAACAGCCAAAAAAATAACACTTCTTAATGTTTCCCTGCATTTTGAATGCTCTATTGAAAACTAATCTAGCACATTAGGTATTTTTTAACTGCATTTTACCTTGTAATCCTCTCCCAGGTGTGAAACCCTTGGTCTGCTCAAACGCCCGGGCCACCATCGCTCCTCTCAGCATGCTGCTGATTGAGTCCACCTGAAGGAAAGCACAAAGGTCAACACACGACACAGCGTCTCACTGAGCCATTGAAAGTGTGTGTAGGGAAGCAAAAAATGCTACCTACGCATAACCAACACCTGCTTGTTTAGCAACTCAGACACGTCTAATGTGTGACATTTTGTTATGTTATTGGTAAACAAAGCTAGAAAGAAATGTTCTACAATAAAATAAGCCCCAGGAAGAAGAAAAAAAAACACACAGAAACATAAAATTAGCTTTTATGTTATTTTACTGCTGATAGAAACTCCCGAAGCTCCTTGTGGAGAGTGTATGTGGGTGTGTTTTTTATTAATATGGGGTCCACAGCCTTTCAGGACACTAATCAAGATCTGTTGAAAACAGGTAGCCTAAGTCTCCTCCCTTTCCGGTCGGCTCATGGGTCCCCGGAAGAACAAAAAAAGAATGCAAGTCAACGGGGCTAAAAACGCTATTAATCCACGTTGCATTAAAGGGACTTTACGGAGTTTTGAATTTTTATGCTCGCGATTGCCCCCTCAGGCCAAAAGTGTAAAGGCAGCTTCAATAGTAGGCTCGTGCACGAGGCGCGCATACTGTACGTGCACACTCCTTAACGAAAATAACAGCTGAGACAGTCCCTTGTGTGTGTGTGTGGCCCGGAGGACAGAGGACAGGAGAACGTGCAGCTAATTAAATAATTTGGTTCTGTACCTTTCTCTTCAGCACAGCCGACATGCTCAGATAATTACCTTCCCTTGCTTGAAAAATTGTTCCAAAATGAAAGTTGAACCCACATCTTTTTTATCTGTGAATTCAATGCCGTTCGGCGAGTCTCAAATAAAAATTTGGGCATCTTACTGTAAAAAAAATATATCATTAATGTAAAAAAGAAACTAAAAAAACTATGTTCACATCCAGAATGGAACACGGGTCTTCTGCACGGAAGCCCTAAGTCTTTCTAGATGAGCTAAACCACCAGTGACATCTTCTGTATCTGTAACATCTATATTCTTGATGACAGCTGAAAACAACGTTCAACGAACGGTTCGGAGGGCTATGCCTGGGCGTGAACGCGCATGAAGCAGCCTGCTCGACCGGAGCAGCTCTTTTTCTGTGATTTTACAGAAAAAGAGGCAATCACAGTAAAAATGCCAGGGCTCATTATACAGGACCAGGGCATTGCAGGAGAATGTATGAAGAAGACATTTATTATTTCTATGCATGTTTTGACTGTCAAACTTCTATAATGCCCCTTTAAAGAGCAAGTCACCCCTTACAAGAAGCGTACTTCACTCCCACTTCACGTTTGAAAAATGCAACAAATGCTGTTGCCTAGCAGACCGAGAGGGTGGAGCCACTAACAAATACACACACTCACGACATTGTGACATCATAATGTACCAGTTTACATCATAGCATACCTCTTAGCCAATTGCGGTGGCAGATTTAAACTGAAATGCAGTGCAGAGTTTTTACCTGACAACGGCACAACACTGACAGTTTTAGGCAGAAAATTACAATTTTAACAAAAATGCACTAAAGTACAAAACTATTAACTACACGTGTCAGCAGCATGATTAGACACACATTTATATAGTTTATCAGAAAAAACGTTGATTTGGAGGTGACTTGCTCTTTAAGCCCTGGATCGCACACATGTTGTACTGCAATTTAAATGCAAAGTAATGATGGATGTTTCGACCACGTCTGTCACATACATTGAGATTCATTAGCTTGTAAAAGTTCGTAATTAGCATGACTACAAACTAGAAATCGGCACATCACCACATAATGTCCTCTCCCCTAACGTAGCTGCTTCTTACCAAATAATGTTATGGTGAGGTTTCTCCTCCTGTGGGAAGTTTGCTGAACTTACAGCCATTTTCCCTCAGTTTTCTCCGTGTCTGGTTTGATGACGTCACTTTCGTGACACGCATTTGTAGTCCAGGGGCCTCATTTATCAAGCTTGCTTACGCTCAAAACGGGGTCGGAAAACTGTGTAAGCAACTTTCCATGCAAACTTTGGGATTTATGAAAGAAAACTTAATGGAAAAAATGTGTGCAACTTTAAGTTGACTAAGGACCTGGCTTACGCACATTTTGGACATGGAGAGCACCTGCAGTGCTGCTGCTGAGAAGGACACAATTATGAAATCCTGCAGCATTATCACTTGTACTGCTTCATTTTCACACAGAACAAGACCCCCCACACACACACGCACACATGCGCGCGCACACACACAAGCACAGACTGAAGTGCAGAATACGGAATGCAGAATATCAGCAGGGGGACAGATTGAGACTGAATGCCATGTGTCTGTGACAGTGTGTGTCCTGTCACTGTGACCCGATTGATCATGCGCCCTGGCTACTTGTACAAGGTAGGGGCTGCACGACTTAATATTTTTTAAAGTTGACTGTCAAGTAATGAAAATCGAGTCGACTTTGACTAGTCGTTGATGACGTCGTACACCTGAAGCGGCGCAGGGGGGTGGGGGGTGTTTCGTTGGAGTTCTTGACAATTAAAATTGCGCCCACATTTTCAAAGTTAAACACATTTCTTTTAACAGCGGTAGTTTCTGCATCTATACTGCTCCACTTCAGCTCTCTCCCCCCTCCCCCTGCGCAGTGCGCCTGCAGCCTCTCAGAGTTCCTGCTGCTCTAAACATTAAAATAATTATTTCATTTTCTGTTCCTCATTTCTGATTACCTTCAATGGTGTCTGTTTGTTGCAACCAGCAGGTACAAAAACTAACTTGTTTTTATTTGACTATTTTTCTGTCCTGTCTCTGTTTATTATCTTCCTGCATCTCCTCTCAATCCTAAAGAAAAACTGCTACCTGGGTTCATATATATTCACCTCATGAGTTACCTTTGAACTGCAGTTCTAAAAGATCTACCGACCGCAAAAACAGCGGAGTGCACGCTGCTTGCCGACCGCATCAGTGAGGTGAAGTTATTGGAGGACAAAACAGGTGATGTGCCCCGCTCCACAGCAGCGAAACACATCAGGCACAAAAAAAAAGACAGAAAACATCAAAGGAAATGAGCCGACATGAACGATCGCGTGTTAAATTTATTTTTGAGGTGGCGACAACTAATTTGATGTTACTGTGGCCGTGCTCAGGACGCAGATGTCTGGAGCGCGTCAACGATCAGAGCTTTGCATGTGCGCGCTGGTTAAGATTAGGATGGGGGTGAGGGCAAGGTTAAATTGCAAGAGGGTAAACGCCACAATTTGGTTAAATGTCTGTTTTACAGCGGGTGTCAGTGCCGACGCTCTGGCACAGCGCGTTGCCTCCCGATGCGCAGGGGCTCGTCACCTGCTGTCTTTTCCGAGGACTGCATCTTGTCGCTCATTATCACGTGACAGCGACTAGTCGCTGAAAGGCATAAAAAGTCACTACAGAGCAGTGAAGTCGACTAGTCGACTAGTTCATACACCCCTAGTACAAGGGCGATCTTCATTTGGCTGACTGATTAGCGCACGTGACTTTCACCTGAGAGTCTGGGGATCGAATCCCGATTGGACCATTTTTTAAATATTTTTTTATATCTCTCTGAAGAACTCAGCATTGACGGCTTCAGCAACGCTGTGCCACTCCGTGGATTTTCTCTTATTTGTTTTGCAAAAGCACTTCCTTTCATTTCTCCACCTACAGGTACCTGAATTTCTGCTTCTGTGAAATTGCGCTTCCTTGATCTGCCTTGATCTACGGTCGCCATCGTCACTGGCGGAGTGTTGCAACAGCTGGCTTATGTAAATGCATGAGAACCACAAGGCACTTTGCATTGACTATTTATGGCAGTAAGTGGGCGTGGTGAGGGCGGGATTTGACTAAAATGCAGCTGAGAAACATTCTCATTAGTCTCCGATTTCTGAAGCGGAGATTGCGTGAAGCTGTGCGTACTCCATGTTTGATAGATCACAAACCTACTTGGCGTAAGTACTTCTTATTTTGCTGAGCTTAAGTACGGTTTTAGTAAGGATTCTACGCAATGTTTGATAAATGAGACCCCTGGACTTATTTTCACACAAAACCTAAAATAACGTTTCCCACTCTTCGAAAATAAGCACGTTCTTGGTATCAAAATGCTTCTTTAAAATTCACGGACATCATACGTGAAATCCATGGCACAGAACAAGAGGATTAGAAAATAGCATTTTTAGCCCCGTTGACTTGGATTCATGTTTTCGTTCTTCCGAGGACCCGTGGTCCGGAAGTAGATGGGCGTGACTTAGGCTCCCTACAGTATATGAGGATCAAATACTGGTTTTTCGGGTACAGAGTGATAATTCAGGGTTAGAATTTGGGTTTTGGTTAAAGTCATGATGCAGTAAAGAACGGGGTTAGCCAATCAGATCATTTACGTAGAAGGATTTCCTTACGTGAACCAGGTGTCCCCATAGGCCAATAAAAACGAACACGTGTGTGGTATAGTCAAAACCATTTTGTCCAGAGGTAAGAAATCATTACAGTTCTCTTCTTCATATACAAAAGGCACAATAAATGGCTGACCTTTAAAGAAAACACACAACGGCCAAAAATAATGGCAGTTTGGGCAGATCTAATACATCTTGCATTTGCGTAATAAAAGCTCCAGGTTATGTGACCTTTTTTTTCTAATTGTAGCCAGTAAAATGTAGTCCTTAGGGTATAAATAAGATGTAAGAAATTAATTGTATTCCAGGACAGCTGCATTGTTGTAAATCAAATTTTGTTTTGTGTCTAAAAATGACATATATCACACATTAAGACTCACCTGGCTGAATAAATGCTCTAGGAAGCTATGGAGTTTCTTCTGTTTGTCATGAGAAAGCCACACACTGGAGGCCATCTCATCTCCTACAGAAACGGAATAAAAACTTGTCAGCGTTGACCTAAAGTATCACAAACGGAGCTAAGAAATTTCTGTTTTCACAGATTTTAATACATGCATATGTGAAGTGTTTTACAACACTTTTGGGACTGATTTGCACCTTTAGAGATGACGGGAATTTAGTTAAAATGTTGAGAAAGTATTAATAATAATAAAGGATTTGATTTATATGGTACATTTCATGGCACCCAAAGTGCTTTACAAAGAATGAATTATTCATTCACTCATTTATACACTGCAATTCACATTTTTACTCAAGTTAAAGTAACAACATAAAATAAATTAATGTGTTTTCTGAGGTAGAAGCAGGGAAGTAAAAACTTTCAGTGCAGAAAAAAGTCACTAGTGATATAATTCACTAGGATAGAATCTAGACAGTTAGTTTGCCGACGCAAAAGTGTGGTCTAGTCATGCTTTATTGCAGGGGTGCCCAATCCTGGTCCTGGAGGGCCGGTATCCAGCATGTTTTAGTTTTAACTGCTTCAACACACCTGATTTCAATCAGCAGGTGATTAACAGGCTTCTGCAGAGCCTGATGAGATGCTGCACAGGTGATTCAACCAGTTAATCAAGTGTGTTGGAGCAGAAAAAACACAAAACCTGCTGGATACCGGCCCTCCAGGACCGGGATTGGGCACCCCTGCTTTATTGGAACTACTGCAGCCCTGGACAGTCTGGTACCGGTCCCATCACAGCACTCTGTTGGTGGGCGGGATGCTACTGAAAAAACAAAGACGGTGATGGCTTGTTTGAAACGGCTTTGGCATCAACTTTGGACTATTTAGACTTGGGCTTTTCTTTAAGTCAAGAGCAGATAGAGGTATTTAAGTTTATTTCGAAAAATGATGTATTTGCATCTTCTTTGATGGGAGTATGGCGAACTGCCTGGTTGCCTGACATCCGTAGCGGAGAGTACGTAGCATTGTTTGTTTTCCAGTAGTACGCGGAGACAGTTTGAAAAACAACCGCAGATCTTGCCCCACGACTAAGAGTCGCCAATTGTGGCCAGACTATACATTCATACACACTCACTAGCCACTTTATTGGGGTACAGGTGTCCAACTATTTGTTATTGGTTATGATCACATGGTGGCAACTCAATGTATTTAGGCATGTTGTCATGGTGAAGACGAAATGCTGCAGTTCAAACCAGCTTCAGAATGGGGAAGAATGATGATTTAAGTGACTTTGAATGTGGCATGGTTGTTGGTGCCAGACGGACCGGTCTGAGTTTTTCAGAAACTGCTGATCTTCTGGGATTGTCACGCACAACCATCTCTAGGGTTTACAGAGAATGGTCCAAAAAAGGGAAAACATTCAATGAGCAACAGGTCTGTTGGCAAAACCCTGTTGATGCCAGGGTCAGAAGAGAATGGCCAGACTGGTTCAAGCTGATAGAAAGACAACAGTAACTCAAATAACCACTCGTTACAACCGAGGTATGCAGAAGAGCATCTCTGAACGAACAACACATCACACCTTGAGGCAGATGGGCTACAGCAACAGAAGAACACACCTGGTGCCACTCCTGTCAGCTAAGAACAGGAAACTGAGGCTTCAATTCACACAGGCTCACCAAAATTGGACAATAGAAATTTATATTTAAAAAAATGTAGCCTGGTCTTAGAAGTCTCTGTCTCTGATGAGTCTGGTCTTGATTTCTGCTGCGACATTTGGTTGGTAAGGTCAGACTTTGGCATCAACAACATGAAAGCATGAATCCATCCTGCCTTGTGTCAACGATTCAGGCTGCTGGTGGTGTGGGGGACATTTGTGACACACTTCGGGCTCCTTAGTACTAATTGATCACCGTTGCAACGACACAGCCTACCGGAGTACTGTTGCTGACCATGTCCGTCCCTTTATGACCACAGTGTACCCATCTTCTGATGGCTTCTTCCAGCAGGATAATGCATCATGTCATAAAGCATCATCTCTGACTGGTTTCATGAACATGACTATGAGTTCACTGTACTCAAATGGCCTCCATAGTCCCCTGATCTCAATCCAATAGAGTACCTTTGGGATGTAGTGGACCGGGAGATTTGCATCATTGATGTGCAGCCAACAAATCCACAGCAACTGCGTGATGCTGTCATGTCAACATGGACCAAGATCTCTGACAAATGTATCCAGTACCTTGTTGAATCTATGCAATGAAGGATTAAAGCAGTTCTGAAGGCAAAAAAGGGATCCAAACTGGTACTAGCAAGGTGTACCTAACAATGTGGTCAGTGGGAATATACAGGATGGCTTGCCAGGCTAATAAACCACAGCTATGAGGGGGAAATAAACCACAATATATAATCGTTAACTGAGTGTAAGATAGAGAAATCTAAATTTTACATACAGATGTCTGTGTTTTAACCCTCCCACTGTCCTAATGGGTGTGACCCCGCGAGGAAAGTTGACCATTGAGCAGGATTGATGGTTTATCCCTTGGGTCCATGTGGCAGGGGTGAGGAGTGAGCACCACCTCACCCCTGCCACGTGGACCTCAAGGGATAAACTATCAATCCTGCTCAATGGTCAACTATCCTCGCGGGGTCACCCTCATTAGGACAGTGGGAGGGTTAAAACTTTGAAGTTTTCTGTGCATTTATGGTGACTTTAATGTGGATGTGAATGCTTGTGTGGTCTTTCTGCACCTGAGTCCATCTCATCACTGTGAACGTAGGAGCTGCAGTGGCTGCTGCAGATGCTGGTGAAGGAGGCGATGGAGTTTCTGTTGCTGTTACAGTCACTGTTTCGAACACAGAGAAAATAACCCAACGACTGAGTAAAAACATACACATCATAAGGTTTATTGTAATTCTTTGATTTATTTTAACTCCTGAATCAAGTCTTCAAAGCTGTGACAGCTGGGTGACCTTCTTTCACTTTAGTTTTACCTGTATGAGTCTCTGTTGCTGATCGTGTCATGTCCAGAGTCCTCCTGCTCATCCCCTGCCACATTGAAACACACCTTCTTCCCATTCCTCTCACTCCTCTCTCCTTCACCTTCTGCAGAAATGTAGCTCTCTGGGTTCCTCACCTCTGATGCTGGAGGATAAGTGATGGAGGATAGAAGACTGACAATGACAAAAGCAACAAAAACAAGTTTGATCAGACTCGAGCAAGGCTGCCACCTTTCTAAGGGCCATGCACGTGCTGTAGGCCAAACAAAACCCCAACATGATCGGATTTGTCTCCAGCTCAACAGCTTCGAGTGGTCAGAGGTCCCCATCGTGTTTAGAGGTTCAAACGTGATGTTCAGTGCAGCTGTGTCAACACACTGCTACGTGGTCCCCTCTCTGTACTACCGTTGTCTTGTATCCTGTAAGAGACCCTGGCAGATACCTATCAGAAGAGCAGGAACAGGATAGACGGGATATTTTCACAGTTGCAGCAACACATGGTGGCATTTACAGCCTAAATGCTAGGCTTGTGCTCGTTTTGATCTCTCCCCGCACACTCACTTTGACACACAAGGTCTCTTTTTATTTCAGACTCATTTTAATTCCAGCACGCGTTTATTTTCCATTACGTCACACCATCAGCCTTCAATGCATCTCAGAGTGGAAACGCTGGGAGAGGGGCTGCATCAAAACAACGTTTTTCACGTTGACAAAGTGCGTCTCAGATTTAAACCTCTTCGTATTCCCCGCTGGCCTGTTTGCTACACATTCACAGGGTGAAAGAGCGTCAAAATGCCCTCATTGTGGTTCACTCCAGGAACCACAACAATGCCCCCGCCATCAAAAAGTGGCATTCCATCACCACAGAGACAGCCTCCTGCCTCTGCGATTGGCTGCTGAATAATTAAAAATGAGCCCAATCTAAGTGCCTTCAGAAGGCAAGCTAAGAGGGTGGCTGGCAGAGTAACAATCAGAGAAAGTGAGTCAGAGACCAAAACTAAAAACAAGAGAGTGAAAGCGGCGAAAACTGCTTATCGCAACAAATCTAAAAGGATTTTTGATAACGATTCCTTTTACAGTCCCCGAATTACTAAGTACTTACATGGTAAGTACCAGAGGTGTGACCAAGTCACTGCTTTGCAAGTCACAAGTAAGTCACAAGTCTTTCCAGTCATCTTCAGTCAAGCCCAAGTCAAAGACAACCAAGTCCAAGTCAAGTCCTTAACTTTGAATTTTCAAGCCATAATCAAGTCATCTGTCCAACTTTAATTTTATGACAATGATAATAAATAAATTCCAGCTTAATTTATTTGCTCAAACAAGCAGAAAGTTGCAAAAGCTAAAATATCAAATATGCTCAAGTCATCATCAAGTCAATAAATGCAAGTTGATTCAAGCCGCTGTCATGGTCTGTGTCTGCGTCTCACCTCATGTGTCTCCTTTTGTCCTCATTCGTCTCTAGGTGCTCCTTTTGTGTCTTCTAGCGCCCTCATGTGTCGTGTCTGCGTCTCCTCATGTGTCTCCTGGTGTTCCCCATTTGCCCTCTAGGTTTCCCTCCTCAGACTTCCCTCTCCCAGGTCCTGTGCTCTCTTGGCCCCCTCTTAGCCACGCCCCAGTAGTTTCTTTCTGTAGTGTTTTCCTTTAGTGTCAGCTTCCCCTTAGAATATTAGTTATGGTTCATGCCTTCTGGTCTTGTTTTTCTCTTAGGTCATTTTCCGTTGTTACAGCCTTTCATTATTTAGTGTGTTTTTTCCCACCAGTGTTTTCTTCCTCCTCCCTGAGTTAGTAATTGTGTTCACCTGGTCCCTCTCCCCACACACCTGCATCTCCCTCTCATCTTCCCAGTCTATATAAGCCCTGTCTTGTCTCTGTGTGGTTGTCGGTCCATTATATTGTTGTTAGCGTTTGTTCGTGCTCTAGTTGAGCTTTGTGTCTCTAGTCTTTGGTGCTCTATGTGAGCTTACGGTGTCTTGTGTTCCAGGACTTTTAGTTCTAGTCTTTGGTGCTCTAAGTGAGCTTCGGGTGTCCTGTGTTCCAGGACTTTTGGATTTTTGGCTCGCTGCCTGTGGATTTATTTTGTGTCGTCCTGCCAAATAAAAGGATTTTTACTTTTTACCAACTCCTGCCTCTTGTCGTCTGGGTAATCTGCACTTTGGGTCCTAAACATTCCCGCAACGTGACAGCCGCAAGTCATTGGTGTTCAAGTCCAAGTCAAATCATAAGTCTTTATGGATTTTATCAAGTCAGAAGTCATTAAATAATGACTCAAGTCTGACTCGAGTCCAAGTCATGCGACTCGAGTCCACACCTCTGGTAATTACATAGTAAGTTAAAGTGTATTATTGTGTAATTAAAGTGTGTAATTGTAAAAAAGTGTCATTATTGTGTAAAGCAGTATTTACTGGGAATGATTAATAAAAACAAAAACTAGAATTGAACCTGAGTTACATGGTAATAACTGTTTAAGAACTCAAAAACAATGATACACTTTCACTTACTATGTAATTACCATGTAAGTACTTAGTAATTAGGGGACTGTAAAAGGAAGTGTTACAGATTTGATTGATTTTTTGTTAACTTTAATAAACTTTAACATTAAATCTTTAGATACCACCTGACTAAACACATTAAATCAATTCTAACTTACTAAACTACATATCTGGCAATTAAATCTAAAATTCATAAAGAGGAATAAATCCGAGAAGCTCGGAATTTTAATTGCTGCCAGTGCATAAACTAGGGAAAAGATATGAAGTAGAAGAGATTTGGTGCTCGATTCAGGAAGGGAAAGACGAATTTAATCGTGTTCATCCTCTCACAGCTGTGGCCGTTCCTCTGAGACACAGAAACAAAAGTTCACAGGTCACTGCCTGAAAATGGATGCTTTGATAAATGACCAAGAAGTTACGTAACATCGAACTATGTCCTGCTTCTTGTATTCTTTCCTTAAATTATAAAACGAATGTTTCAAACGGGCAGGCTTCTTTTCTTGGCATGAACAACAAAAGAGGGGCGTGCTCGACATAAAATAGCCACTTCAGTTTATTATTTCATGAGTGAAATATGAGTTTTCCAAGCAGCTTAGAACAAAAAAAGGTGAGGCAAAGAGATGGAAGAAGGCAGCATTGATAAAAAATGTGAGAAGATAGTTTGGTGTAAAAGAGCAAAAACAGGAGGTGTTTAGGTGGGAGGGGCAGGGTGTGTGTTGTAGCAGTAGCAATGACCCTTGCACAGCCAGTGAACAAAGTAAAATGCAAACTAATTTAATGAAGTGCTAAGGAAGGCTCAGGACTCCCACCGAGGCAAAGCGATGCACACAGGCGGCTACAACAGACCAAATTAGTCTCCGAGCTGAGACCCTCACACACTCCCACCCTTAACAAGCTCCTTGTCTATGGTCTGCATGTTTGAACAGACAGCTCACAGTAAAGGCCATTATCGCCTCGCTAGATGTGTCTTGGACCATTTGAGGGAACGAGGATGCCAGTGAGCTAATTGGCAGCGACAGGAGCATGACAAGATTGGTCCTGACTCAGTCTTTACCAGACCTGCTGTGGACTCATCCCATCATTACCACGATGAGGCGACAGATCAGCTCCATCAAACATCTAATGTCAGTTTCTAACTAAAGGAGAGTATTGATAATAAATCAGTTAAATGACTATGAAAGATTGAACAAGAGATCCATGCACATGTACATCATCTGCTGCTTTAATGCCAGTTGTTGTTAAAAAGGGTTAGTCACTTTAGGATCTGACACAAAGCATAAGCAGGCAAAATCTAAAACAAAGGTGCTATGTGCTCTGTAAGTTTTAACCCTTATATGTCCTAAGTGCATTTTTTTATGCTCAAACACCAAAAATGTTTCAAAATTAAAAGGTTATGTAAGGGTTAAATATGTCTTGGTGATGGCACAGCCCATGGGTGTCACACCCGTGGGGGATGTGGGGGGTTCCACACCCACACTTTTCTTATTGAGATCGTCCACACTTGTCCTGCCGTTTTGCAAAAGGAATAACTGAACGCTCCTTCTAGGGAACAGCTTTTGTTGTCCAACTTTAAAGCCAGCTTTGTTAACAGTCCCCACCTTTACCAAAGTACACCTGTGAGCTGGTGGACTGGACTGGAACTAGTTTATTCAGGAGAGTTTCTACCGGATCCCGCCGTTGGATTATTGAAGCCATTCAGGTAAGTTAGGAAACCTCTGAGCCAATAGAATCGCTTGCTTCTGATTTATTTCAGCTAGTTTTTTGGGATTTGGCGTCGGATGGATGCAAGCTAAAACAGCCACGAATCAGCTTTGTGTGGTGTTGTGAAGACGGATTACACAAATGCATTGGATTGTTTTTACTACAACATGGATTATGACCATGAATCAACAAAGGCAAGACTGAATTTACGCTTTTCACGTCACAAAATGAGCTGTGGTTTGTTAGCTGCTGGCTCTGTGAATTTTGCATGTAGAGTGCATAAATATTGTTGGAAAGAGGAGAGCCTGGGCTTTAATTTAAACAGCAGATTATGTGGATAGGATTTTGGATTGACGCTACTGTGTGTTTTTCTCTGAATGCGTATTTTGTGTCTTTTTACGTCCTTTTGATTTAACAGCTTATTGTTGAAATTGGGTGTTGCTGATGGAGAAAAGTTGGGTTCTGTTGTTTGGAAGATTAGTTCTTCCCATTCTGCATGTGTGCAGTTTACATTGGCGAATATTAAGCATGTTTTTTGATGGACTTTTACTGTGAATTATGCACATACCCGTTCCTGGATTGAGGTTGAGTTTCAATTTACAGCTGATGACATCCACAGACAACATCCCCCACACCTTTGAAAAGCTTGCAGCGCACCTGGCACAGTCACTAACCCAGACTTTAGCTCTATAGCTTTAAAACAAAGCCATTTTTCTTCAGTAGATTATCTGCGATGGTGACTGTGCCAGATCGGCTCGGGGGCCTGCGCCTGCCGATTTCATCACACTACATGATTGGCTGAAGGCAGGACTTAAAGTTACGAAAACACGGTCGTAAAAGTTATGTTAGTACGTTGGCACTGAAGATTTTGATTGGTCCGAACAAATTTGCAGCTGTAGTCCTAGCAGGTGAAGTCCTGTAGTCCAGAAGCAATCACTTTTCAGAGAAAAGAGGTTATACAGTGATCCCTCGTTTATCGCAGTAGATGCGTTCCAGACCTGGCCGAAATAGGTGAAAATCTGCGAAGTAGGGACACCATATTTACAGTACAGTACTATATTGAATTATCGTATGATCACATTCTCTTTTTGTGGGTAAAACTCAAGAAAAAAAATTTTTTTACTTGTTTTTTTATAGTTTTATTACAAAAAGTGCATTTTATGATGAAATTGATGAAAAAAACAGGAATTTCTTGATATTTCGCATAGAAAAATACCGCGAATCGGTGAAAAATACCGCGAATCGGCGAATTTCCCTTGAATAAGGCTCCAAAGAAAAAAATCTGCGAAGTCATGAATCCGTGATAAACGAACCACGAAGTAGCGAGGGATCACTCAATTGCCATAGAAAACTGATTTTGATGAAAAGGGGCAAAAAATAGATAAAAAAAACTTTGTTGAACACACAGCAATCAACATTTTTAATGAATGGATTTATTTACATTCATAAAAACGTCACAGAGAAATTATTGATTTCATTTTTTTTATTCATAATAATTGTGTGTTATTGCGAGTTTTTTTCTTTCAACCCACCTAATGTTAAAGACCTTTCAACTTCAGTTTCATGGCACCTTAATTTCTTTTGTAGAAACTATTACTGACAAACTATAAAATCATCTTTGAAGAGCAATTTGTGATTTAGCGAGTACGAAATGGCAGCGTAGCTATGATGCTTTCAGAAATCCTTTCGGCTGGCTCGTCTGCAAATAGGCTTTAGTCTACTCACTCGTGAATGTGGGCTCCGTGTGTCTCCATCTCTTTAACAGCAGCGGTGAGTTTATAAAGAAGTTTCTGATACGCATCCAGGGTGAGCAGGTCTTCTTCTCTGAGCAGGAACTGAAGCCCGTGGCCCTCTGTCCGGCCCAGGCTGTGACCAGAAGGCGCAGCCATGGTCGTGATGGTGTGCTGGACATTCACCGTGGGGCTCAGCTTACCTGAACAAAAATACCAGCACAGCTGCAGCGTTGTGGCGCTCAATAGACATCCAGAAATCCTCGTGCTCTGCACAGTTCTCACCGTTCTCCGAACTGCTGCGCCCGTTCTTCTCCAGCGTGTTCTTCCTGCTGTCCAGCTGCACACCGAAGGCGCTGCCCAGAGACGTGGTGGTCTTGGGGTAGGACACCTCCAGCACATTTATGTGGCAGTTGGTAGGACAGAAGTCACTGCTGTGGAGAGGGGAAACCTTGGCCTTGGCCTGCTTGAAAGTGGGCCACGCTCTGTTCTTCAGTACCCGAGAAAACTGAGACGAAGGAGAAAAGAAACAACCTTAATGTGGAAACACGAGTTCATAGGATCCGCAACAGAAGAAATGCAACCTTTTGATCACTTGGCTATCAAAGCGTGATTTAAAGGAGTTGTGTAATCAAACATCAGGACTAAAAATAAAAACAATTTGAGGCTTCAAGAGTCTGAATGCTTGAATTATTTAGCTGGTGTGCGTCACAGCTGAGACAGGGCAGAGTACCTGTCAACAAAATGTGCTGTTACGTATGTGACAGCGGGCCCAAGAAAGAATAAAAGCACAAACAAATACTTCTACAGACTCTCAACATTTCTCTTTTCATGTGGCAGCTCAAATATTAAAAGTAAATCACCGATTCAAGGCAGACTGGTACGATTATCATCGCTCACATATGTGGAAAAACTCCAGACCCCGGCGTAACCCTTCATGGTTTCGAGCGATACAAACTGCGCTGAAATGGTGTGCATCAGTTGTAATTGTGACTTTTCATGTGTAGCTTCAATGACTTCCAGAAATGGAAATTCCTGGACTGAATTTGCTGCAGAAGAGTTGTGGGTATTGAAACACGTTGCTGCAATCAACATTTGGTGAAATGATCCACACATGGATCCAAAAAGTTGAATAACTATCCTCTAGGGTGACGTAGTTAGAGACGGTGTATGAACGTTTAAAGGAAACCTTCTAAAAAACATAAAATAAGGGAAGAGTCGTCTTGGTTCTGGTAACTCTCTCACAAAGGCTGAATGTTACATTTAAAATGACCAAAAAAACCTGCTGTAGCTTCATTTTTATTTTAGAAATCTTAAACCAACACAGTCTTCGCTGTCTCCTTGATTATCTGTTTGCAAGAGTCACTCTGACATCTGTCTCCAGATCCTTCCAAGTCAAAATCCCTCTTGATAATCACTTTCTGTTCCCTCTTCCTGTTTATCTCAGCTTTACTTTTCCATCTCTCTCCATTTTTAACTCCTCTTGTCCATCCTCCTTTTTTCTCCCCTCCCTCAGAGGTCTGAGGAATGCGCTGCAGCATGAGGGGATCTTACACAACTAAAGCTTTGGCTGTTATGAAGCAGGAATATTTAGAAGTGGTAATTAATTCAAGGACCCCTCAAAAGTTAAGTCAGATCCCTTCCTCTTTCTCACGCACACTCGCATGTATTGCCCATTGACACACGGCTAAAGAGGTGAATGGAAAATGGCTAAAATATTTAGGCACAATAAATAAAAAAATGTACTATTTGGAAAATAAGCAAAGTACTTAAGAGTTTGTTGTTGTGTTCTGGTGTTTGTTAAATATCATGTTTGGTGATCAGTGTAAGCTTTTTTTGTTACATTTTGTCATTTTCACTAGCATGGCAGGCCTTCCTATGTATATACATACATAGTCTGGCCAAAAACCATTTAAAGAACCTAGTCAAAGGGCAGAATCTATGTCTTTCAAACTGTCTCTGTATGCAATTGGATGGCGCCAAGACCAGTCAGAGTGAAGACTGATACTTCTCCATTTAGCTCGAGTGTGGAATTGCGTACACGCATTGACGGAGATGTTTTCCCTTCAGACTTCTCCGTCACCTGGGGTGTGTTGCAAAGCAATTCCCCATCAGGACAACAGAGGGCGTTGAGTTTTTCCGAGGTATCCTACCACCATTACAATCACATATCTGTTTCTACAATAGTGTATTTACTTTTTTTTTTACGTTGTGTTTGTTTTTCATGTGGACAATTCACTCCTCATTCTCTTCCACCTCTTCATGTGATCTTCACCTCTAAATCCACGTTTCCCACCATTTCCATCCACGAATAAAACGTTTGCTGCAAACTACGATTGGAACAATATTACATGTAACTTGTACCAAGTTTTGTAACTGTAACTTTACTTTTGTAGCATGTAATTCTCGTTTTATAACAAGTAACTTTTGGTATGTAACATGAAACTTTCATTTTGTAACTTGCAGAAAACATTAATGAACAAGTTTAAAATAACAACTCTCAAAACACACATCTCAGTCTACAGTTACAAAACTGAAGTCAACAAGTACAAAACATTGTGTCCCAATTCTAGCTTCCGTCCCAAAGAACCAATGAAATGCTTTGTCTGACCAGCCAATCATGAGTCTTGGATTCCTGTCCAAGACAATTCCTGTTGGAAGTAAGTTAAAATTGGGACAAAATGTTTTGTACGTGTAGACTTGAGTTTTGTAACTGTAGACTGAGGTTTATGTTTAGAGAGTTGTGATTTGAAACTTGTACATTGATTATTTTCAGCAAGTTACAAAAAAAATGTTTCATGTTAAGTACCAAAGTTACATGCTACAAAACTAAAGTTACCTGTTACAAAACAAAAGTTACGTGTTACAAAACACGAATTACATGCTACAAAACTAAAGTTACAGTTACAAAACATGGTACATGTTAAATGCAATATTGTCCCAATCCTAGTTCCATACATATCCTTGTACTCCTTCAGTCACCGGTGAATAAACGTTCATATTTCCCGACTTATTTCGCAAGGCGTTTTTCAAGCTGTTCCGTCTCTGCCACTAAACACCTCATGTTTTGAAGGGGCAATGGCGGTGCTGTTGATGTATTTAAAGGAAACAATGTCCTGACCAATCACAAGCTTGCGGTGTCCGTCACTTTTGAAGGATTGTTAAAAAGTTGTGCCCCTTTCCGTCAGCTCCTGAGGGCCTGTCAAAGAGCCTTAGCGCCAACGCTTAATGGCACTGCGTGTCTCTGTACCCACACAGACGGGGAAGTAGACACTTGTCTTACCTAAGAACATGACATATTCAGTGCTACAAAAATTAGAAAACAAGGCAGTCTGTCATACAATGTCTTTAAAGAAGAAGCAAATACATCCTTTTATAAATAAGTCACTTGGGTACCAATATCAATATCTGCTCATGCCTTAAAGAAAAGCCCAACTCTAAGTCGTCCAAAGTCGACGCCAAAGCCATTTCAAACAAGCGCCATTTCTGTCTTTGTAGTTTTCCTCTGTTGAAAATCTGGTGCTTAGCCCACCTGACAAATGAGTTCTGGAGCGCGGCTAGACAAACCTGCAGAGCTAAATCTTTTGCTTCTGCTATGGTTGGTCTAGAGTTCTAAAATAATTTTTCACTCTTCTGCAGGAATGTTTTCTATTTTTAGGAGAAGAGTCAGAATCAGAACAACAATTCAAATGTCGCAAATTAGATAATTCACTATTCAGTTTCAGCCATTTCCCTGCTCCAGCACACCTGATTTGCCTTCATCTTCACTGTAATCATCTTCTTCATCCTATCCCATCTTTTCACTCTGAATTCTATTACACTTCTAAAAAGGTTGATGTCCCTTTAAAAAGATCAGTGACTCATACTGCCCTCGTACCAACAGTTTTTTCTGAACACACCTGATTAAATGGTTAACTCAGTTCTTTTATTATTAGTAGTATTTTTATCCACTCACTTAAACCAGGTGTGTTGGTGCAGGGCAACATACAACATGCAGGCAGTGGCCCTTGAAGACTAGGACTGCTTACAGCTGTTCTATTAGCTGCTTTTATATCACATTATTGTCCGTCTACAGAGAAATAGTTCTTTTTCCTTTTCTCGGATTCAGGAGCTCTGGGGATGAAAGGACATTTAACAAATTTGCTTCCTCCTACCAATCTGAATCAGATGGAGATTGGTTTCCTAAACAGTCACTAAAATTTAAAATCAACTTTGGCATCCCACCTCCTCGCAAACGCTCCTACTGGCTATTTTAACACTTTTTGACGTTAAACGTGAAATGAACGAATAAAAATTTGTTCGAGCTTTCAGATGAAGGTAAATGTCCTCCTGAGCAGAGCAGCTGATGAAAATCTGTTCTGATTTTTTGTGAAATCCAGTGAAAAGTCACCTTTCTGTAGCTGGTGATGCGTTGGTTAATGTGCTCCGCCCTCTCGCCGTACATGGCGTTGAAGCGTACCTGTAGTTCCTCAGGTATCACTTCACAGCTGGAGCTCAACCTGCTGCACATCTGCACCAGCATGTCATCGTTGCGTGCCAGCGCCTCCAGGATCTGGTCACAGAAAGGGTAAAAAAAGATCCAAATGGGATGTAAATGAACGACCGGGCGTTCCATTCAACATAAAAACAAGAAGAAGCTCAGCTGCAGGGCTTTTCTTTCTCGGTATTTGAATTAGAATGTATAAAATTCCCATGTGGTGTCCATAAATGCATGGAGATACATCCAGACTGTTCAGATTCAAGATTAGATATAAGGGGAACAGGAAGCTTGATATGGGATGAAAGGGAAGGAAAACATAGCTGCAGGAAGAGACTGAGGACACGAACATCCCACAAACCCTCAGAGGAAGACGTGGCATGCTGCAGCACGACATCATATTTAAATGACTTTCACTTTAGACTAATTGAAAACCGTCGACACTGAAGGTTTTGGTAGATGTCAAGTGAATGGCTGTAAATCTCCATCAGCATCTTCATTTGATCTCAGCTAATTTATTCCAAGGCGGAGAGATGTTGCTCATCACCAGATCTGGCAGCAAGATGCAGCAGAGCTCTTTCTGTGTTCTACTCCAGCAAACATGCATTTTCATGTCTGACTGAGTCTTCTGTCCTCTGGGTCTTAAATCAATAATGATCATTAGTAAACCTCACTGCTGACATGTAAAAAGCATGCTCTTGAACCAGACGGGAATTAAACTAACTGAAATAAAGTTGTCAGCTCGAACTAACTTCCAACTCACGAGAGGAGCGGGTGGATTTAGGAGTGCCGAGGAGCTCATGGACCAGAAAAACACCTCTGGGGTTTACTCTGAATTTCACATCATCCAAATTATTACTGATTAACAGGCTCAAGTTAATCCAAACAATGCACATTGTAAAAAATAGATAACTTCTCATAATGAAGTTTGAGTTAATCTCACTCGCCTCTTTAGCCTGATGAGGCAGAAGCACTTTTATGGTGTTTTGCTGTTTGGATCCTCACTGTTTTCAGCTCTGTGACCATAAGCACCAGCATTTATCATCTAAACAGGCATGAAAAATCTCTCAAGCCTTTCCCACTGTCTCTTTTATTTTATGGTCAAAACCCACCAATCTTTAAACTGTACAGCTTAATGATTCAAGTTGTGGTGAGCAGGGCGTTCTGCTCTGGGTTTACAGCATCCTATTAACCAATAATACGCCCCGGGGACAAAAACAAGCTCTGGGTGCCACCAAGTTTCCCCAACATGCATAGACCATTAAACTTTATTGAAATTTTTTCTAACATCTTTTGATAATTCTTTACTTCTGCTATTCCTGCGACACACGTCCTATGGCCTTAAATTCTGTAAAAGTGGTTTAAAGAATGAATAGATGGTTTAAAACAGATGGTTCTAAAACTGAAACTAAAACACTGTAAACTGCAAGCAATATTTGAGAAAACAAGCATGAATATTAAAGTTGTAAATGTTCTATGGGCTATACAAAGCATGGTTTTGAATTATTTAGCATCAAATTCCTCTCAAATGAAGCAATTTCAGAAGTTTTATTAATGACAGTTTTAGGACCTTCCAGAATGAGCCATTTCAGGGCTCTGTCACTTTAAGAAAAAAAGTTGGAGCTGGCTACGTCCACCCATTCTCTCTCAGGTTGCTATAGGCTGAGAAGCTTGGATATCCGGGAGGGGCTCGAAGTAGGGCTGCTGATGCTCCTCCTTAACCTAAGAGGTGGTTTTATTCTACTATTCCCATTTGTGACATCACAATCAGGGACTTTTTGAAACGGCTCATTTTAAGCGCATGGTTTCTGAAACCAAACACTGACAGAACACTGATGGACATATTTTTTTCACATTTGGAGTGTTTATAAAGGCAGTAGAGACCATATGGCAGCACAAAAAATGTAAAAGGCTGGTTTGCATAATATGACCCCTAAAATTAATCTACAAGAGCAGATGTTTCAAGAAATTATTGTTTATAGTGGTCTTTCCCTATAACGTGATTCATCTTTCACAACCTCACCGTTTCACAATTGTTTTTAACATGAGATAAGATATAAGATAAGGTAAGACATATTGATCCCAGTGGGGTTCATTTGTGCCACAGCTCAGAACAGATAGCAAAAGAGTACAAAAGGTGACCAGGAATGCCAGAAAAATAGAACAAGACACTGTGTATAACAATAGTTCCTATGCAGACGCATACACAGTATGCATTATGGATAGAGAGTTGTGAAACGATGCAGAAGTAAAAAATATCAGCTGTTCTACTACAACTACTATTTATCCTCCGAGTGGTTAGTGCAACTTGGCTTTTTTTTTTTACAGTGCAATGTGTCTGGGTCCTGATTGGCTGTAGACCTTCAGTGGTAAAATATGCTACAGTGAAGCTGTGCCAGGACTAGTGGGCTCGACACACGGGAGGCGACAAACGACCGCGATCAGCGAAATTTGTCGCTGTCGCTTTTATTACCTGTCACACGGGAGGCGATCCGCGGCAGCGGCCAGTGGCAAAGCCGTCTACGCGTTCTGTTCCAAGGTGAAATCGAAACTTCCGTTGTTTTGTTTGACTGTGTCACGTTGGAGGCAATTAAGGTTATTTAAGCGGTTCAGAGTTAATAAAGAGGTAGATATGATGTTTCACAAGGTGCTGCTAGAGTTATGTGAAATCTTACTTCTGATTTTACTATATAAAACATAATAATAATAAACTTCTCCTCCATGTTTGCTCGGAAATGTGCGGAACATCCTGTCCGCTCATTGGTCAGTGAATGAAACCTCCGTTGATTGGTCCTCGTCCGAGTGACAGCGATGAAAGGTTGAAAATGTTTCAACTTTTTGGGATCGTGTCGCTGGGTCGTCCGTGCACGGCACGTGCACGAGTGCAAAATTTCACACGCACGTTTTTCGCGTTTCGCTTAGTAGGAGGGAGACCCGCGATTATCGCTTTGTTGCGCTTGTCTCATTGAAAATGAATGGAGAGGCGATGTCACCTCCCATGTGTCGAGCCCGTAAGAGGTGCCGTCAGAGGAATTGTGAAATACTTGTGCGTCATTTTAAATAATTTCTTATGTGTCCAACCTCATAGGCCGATTGTTAAAATTAAATCAGTTAGTTCTAAAATACAACATTATTATTTATAGGAAAAAGTTTATATTTTATTTCTCAAACAAATGCTTTGGCCTGGAAACAGCCTTAAAACATTTTTAACAGCATTATAGGGCTGGGCAATAAATAGAAAATGTACCATTATTGAAATTTCTGACCCTTATCGTGAGAATTTTTCCCATGCGAATAAATTTGATATTAAAAAATGAAAAGATGTGTGTAGGTTGGCAACAGTCATGTCCCTTTAAGAAGTTGTACCACCTGTGAGTCACATAAAAATGTGACTCAAGGTAATACATGTCACAGCACCATCTAGTGGACAACCTTTGTTTCTGCACATACCTGTAGTTATCGTCCATTTATCGTTATCGAGGTGAAATCCTCAATATATCGTGATATTGATTTTAGGCCATATCGCCCAGCCCTACAGCATTATATTTCTTAAAAGGGAATCCAGAAATGACCTTTGCAGTGAGGCTGAAGAATCCCTTTGGTTCAACCATCTTTTCCAGAACATGGCACTTGGTCCCAGCCGTGCTGTCGTACTCGTACACCACGCCGTACTCCAGGTGAACGTTGTCCACTGTAAGACTCACATGGTCCTTCTTCCCATCAATGATGGCGATTGTGTTGAATTTGTCCAACACTTCTAATGTCGGGGACAGACACAAAAAAAGCGAGTGTATTTACATCAAATCGCTCACAAACGAGGCAGCCTATACTCATAAATTCTGAGATAAGCTTTTGCAATTTAGCCAGACATTTTCATCATCACATTCAGAACCGAGCGAGGCCTCAAACCACTAAATCTGCACTCAATTTCAGAGAAAACCCCTCTGCTCGTGGCATTTCACCATCCCACATGAAAATGTCGAGCCACTCCAAAAGCACTGAGTTAACCAGCCTTATGCTAATGCAATGACTTAATACGGCAATAAATTGTGCTTGGGAGCTTTTTCTGCAAAGGGAATTGCTTTCCTGCTTTATGCTCTCACTGGGATCTATAAATTGTTGGGGGGAAATTAACACTTGATGAGCCAGAGGAGGTGGCTGTTTTCAGGCTAACACGTTCCAAATGACGACTCCCACTTCCAAAGTGAAAGAGGCAAAGGTTGTGTGTGTTCCTGTGAATGAGCGTGTGTTACATCAACAGACACCTTGACCACAAGTTTATTTCCCAAAGGGGCGGCTCCAACGTATTTTGTGAATGTGTTGGTGTGCCGTCACCTTCAACCTTGCACTCAAAGCCATCTCCGTTCTCCTCAGCAGTGGGTTTCTGGTTAGCTTTCTGGTTTTCCTCCTGGGCACTCTCACTGCTGTTGTATACCCACTTAATTGTGTCTTGCTGCAGGAAAGAAAGACCAAAAGGAGACCTCCATTTATATTACAAAATACAATTTTGCTAAATTAGCAGGCGGCCCATTTTTTATGAAGACAATTTAAATATACAATAAAAAATACTGAACAGCTAAAGGTTGTTTTAACGTGTTCAGTTCATTGAACCCTGTTATTGTGTTCAGTGTCATGGTTGGGTCTGCAGACAGTACAAGAAAAAGTCTTCACAAGCATATGGAAACACTGCAAAAACCAACCCACGCCAATCTAATCGAGCCATTCTAGCGTGCATTACAGACTTGTGTGTGTGTGTGTGTGTGTGTGTGTGTGTGTGTGTCTGTTGTTCTCCGCAGCCAAACCCACGGAGGTTTTTCTGCCAAGGCTACACACTGGTCGACTCGTGTACAACCCCATCACACAAACACACACAGAAAGAGAAAAAGATGGTGTTCCTCTGTGTCCACACCAGAACTCCTGCCGTTTGTTAAACACTAGCGCATCATTAAGCTCAGAAACCGCACTTGAGCTCAATTCTAATGATATACCACGCTACGTCAAACCCTGGAGTTACTATTTTCACAATTCCCCACCTTCAACAAGTGGTCTGAGCGTTCTCTCTCCTACACTTGTCTGCTTTTAACCACTCTCCCAGAATAAAACAAGCTGTCTGAACTAGTGTACCAGGCTCGCCCGGCCAGCCCACCACTGTGAGCCAGGGGTCAGGGCCGCAGGAGCCAAAAGTATTATTATTTCACTGTAAAGTAAAAAAGGAGACAAAAAGATAGTAAATGGGAGCTTGGAGGGCTGCCTGGTGGGACGGGGAATATAATCTAGTTCTCGATGCATCACAACAAGAACATAAACAACTTAGAATAAATTTTAAGATGCTCAAAAGTGATTTTACCTCTAAGGGAGGTGAGGGAGGTGAAGATGCATCAATAATTGTTTTTTTATTTACATTGCAACCCCCAAATCAGGAGTAGCCTCAAGATTCCTAACCCTGCATTTGGGTATGTTTATTAACAATTTCCATCTGTTTGTGTTTTTTTTTTTCCTTTGTGCTCTTTGTGCTTCTGCAGCTTCTTATATTCTCTCCATTTTCAGTTTTGTTACAAAAGAAACAGATCAATCAGCACACAGTTCAAAATATCACCCTCAGCAAGCGGTCATTCAAAGGCTAAAAACTATAATCGCAGACAAAAATCTGATGGAAAAAATTCACGTCTAGCCTTTGCCTTACCTGCGTTGGTCGCCTGTATTTCCTACACGCTGTGACATGAGCGATGACACTGGCATGGCTCTCCTTGCTCACATTGATGCCATTTACCTTGATGATGCATTGGCCCGGGTGGAGACCGGCCGTGGCTGCAACAGTGCCTGGCATGAAACAGAAAAGCAGTCAAAAACAAAAGAAGGGTGTAAAGGTCGAGAACATCTGACCTTGCAGGTGCAAGCTGAATGACGAAATAAAAACATCTGCACATACTTTAATAGTTCCACATTCCACACATAACTGCGATGGGAAACAATCCATGTAATTCCCTGGATTCACACCTTTCTTTCCTGTTTGAAGCAGCACAGGGGGAATGTGCCGTGTGGTCTGCAAACGGGGACGTTATTCATCAAACTAAATTTGATTGAGACCACAAGAGGATTCCAAAGGAAACCAGGCATCGCTCATGGTTTCATTCAATAGATCTGTGATTCTCCAGCAACGTGTTGCAAAGACAAAAATCACTTAGCTGTTGAACCCTCCCTTTGGAGTAGTGGGATACCACTAGTATAGCTCCCACAAGTAAGGAAAGTAAAAATGAAGAAAAGAAAAAAAACTGCAGTAAAAACTGAGACAAATGTCAGATAAGTAATACATTTTTAGTAAACTTTTATAAATTCTGTGAACTAAAAATTGCTTAGGTTGACACAAATAATCAAAGATCATATTCCAGTAATGCACAGCACTGCGTCGTAATGCGACTTATAGTAACACTACTTACCGTAACGCAACATGTCATAATGCCGCATGCCGTAATGCAACATGCCATACGCAGCGTGTCATTACGCAACGCGTCGTTACGCAACGTGTCATTACACAACGTGTCATTACACAACGTGTCGTAACGCAATGTGTCACAGTGCATTGTTACGCAACGCATTGTAATATAATTGCATCTTATCATGCTGCATCATTTGGGGTAACATTGTATATCACAATAAATTCTAACAAATGTTGCAATAATGATGTCATAAGGTACAGCGCAATGCAACATGTTGCACTGTGCATTACCATTAACGCGTCATTACTCAACGCATCGTAACGTCATTGTATAATAATGCATTCCATCATGCTGCATCATTTTGTGTGAACATTGTATCGTAACAAATTATAACAAATGCTGCAATAATATATTGCAATGTGATGCATAGTACCATACCTATGTGCCACTTATGATAAAAAGTTTCATGATGCTAAGTTTCGTAGAGCACCACGTCACAGCATATCACATTTGATCAAGTCGTACATCTAATTCTTTTGCATCAAATGTTATGCTTTCACAACATAGTGTATCACAGTTTTTATATCACAACATACCCCGGTGAGTTACATCACATTGTAGCATAACAAACCCATACTTCCATGACCTTTTTGTCTTTTCTGGCTTTTTAATTCTGGCTAAGATTAAGTCCAGTTCTCCAGTGACCCCCTTGAAAGCAATAGGTGATACAACTCAATCAATGGTTCTTTGCACTCCCAGCCATAGTTAGGTTTCTGTCTCTAATTGTTTTTACCACTCCTAGTGACAGAAATCTCCAGGGAAACAAAAGCTGTTGTAAAAATTCTTAGGATTAGGGATTGGACACCTCCAGCTTTATAAGCTTCGTCTCTGAGGATCAGTGCATCTGCATAAACCCACCAATTTCACAAGAAACAACATCAGCAAGTCAACATATGCACACATATAGAATTCACTTACAAGTGCATACCCAGCACTTTTCCACCATCTATTATCCCACTTAGATAGCTTTAAAAAAAATGCAAGATTCAATTCAAAGAGCCAGACAAGGCTATGGATTGTTTTTTGATTGGAGCCTATTCGGTGCAAGCCCTGATGGCAGTGCTACTGAACAAGCTCCATTCAGTAAAAAGAGAGAAGACTGCATTGAACGCAGAGTAAAAATGCAGAAGGCATTCGTATCACACAAAGAAAATGATCCACCAAAAATAAAAATGAATAGGTGTATGGAAATCATTGTGACACTTTATGCCACAGCCAAGTCACGCACATCCCCAAAGACTGATGTAGCAGCTGCTTGCCAGCTGTGTCACAACAACAAAAGGAAGTATTTTACTGATGAAGCCAGACAGCCATCTCTTACCTCTTCCAACAGCATGGACCACAGAGGGGCCAAATCCTCGAATCTGGAAGCCCAACCCATCAGCAGAGTCTGGAATCTTTACTGTCCTAAAGAGGAAATGTAGCAAACTGGGGACATGCACTCACTTCAGTTTTGACAGTAACTATGCACATGCACGTCTGCCTTACTCTCTTGGCTTGGTGCTGACCAACACCCGCAGGGGGCCCTTGTTGTTGAAGCATTGCCTGAGGACAACTTCCACTTCAGAGAACGGCCTCAGGAATACCAAGTCTCCGTTTATGGCAAATAACTTCCTCCCAACTTCAAGGCCCGCCATCTTCCAAAAGAATAGTTTTTTAAAGGCTAATTAAGCTACAACATTTTCTGTGACAGAAAAACTATTCTTTTTTTTAAAGTAACTCTTTAAGCTAGAGCTTTAACATTGATCTCAGTGATAGTTGGGTTAGAAACTTGACCAGTTTCATATTTGACACCACCTCTACTGGCCAAAAACTGGACTAGACTGTATTGTGGAGCGGGTAGGTGTCCTAGGGGGCACTCTTTACCTGCTTTACAACGGTTAGCTGTAATGCTAGCGGTTAGCATTTTCAGATCGCAAATAGTGAATTAAAAACAGAAAAAGAAGTTTGCTTTTTCTGTTGGCATAAGGAGGTTAATCTGTAATGGTGGTCTTTTTGAATAGCAGTGTTATCGCCTATTATCTTAGGCCAGTGATTATGTGCATACATTTTGTAAAAGAGGAGTAGGATCAAAATAAGCTTAGCTTCTACCTACTCCTTTTGAACAATTACTGTGTGTTTTGTTCTATTTTGGATGTGGTTCTGAGTAATTAGTTATGCGTGTGTAAGTCATGTTTTATTTTATTTTATATTTTTGTTTTTTAAATCTTTATTCAAATAAAAAGAAACCAAACCAAAGTTACTTCTTTCCACAGATGTTTCCCTTTAGCCAATTATGCATTCACTTTATTGATTGGTGTGTGCCTCCTCCTAGCGTGTTTACATTTGTATACTTGTCTTGATTTATGCTCACTACAGCCTAAAGCTCAAACGCATTTAACTTGCTCTTTTCCACAATAAATTGAGACTGATTATATATTGAATACTCATTCCTGGTATGTTTAATTCCCTTTCATAATCCTGCACCTGCTTCTATTTTCCAGTCCATCTGTACATTTCTAGGTCCAGCTCTGGCTACAAACCAGACAGACCGGCTATTCTGTCAAACTCTAAAAGTTTACAACAATGCGACATGTAAGAGACAGATCGTTCTATTGTCCGTGTGTCACACCTCAGCCGGGGAGCCCCTATCCACAGATTTTATGATGGGGACTCGGTTTCTTTCTTCCAGAGTAAACCCGTAGCTTCCGTCACTTGGTCTTATCTGGGGGAAAAAAAAAACAAGTTTGGACTCAGCAGAAATCCAAGCCAGCAGACCAAAATCCTTTCACAAAGCTAGACACACACCACAAGAAAAAGATACTGGTACAAACAGATAGCAGGAGTTTTGGTTTGTTGCTCACTCCTAAGAAGAAAATGCTTTTCTTGCTTACTGAGGTCTAAAATTGACTTTTGCAGCGTTATCAGTTTTTTCTTTTCTTTTGTCACAGCTGTGTGCCTCAAAATGATTTACTGAGCTGTTCTTTTGTGCAGGTTGTGGGCAAATTAAAGCAAATCTTAGCATAAAAGAAAAGGCTGAGTTTTTCTAATAAATGACAACTCACCAGGAGGGACTTTGTGATGACGTTTTCCACTATTTTCAGGTCGTGCTTCATGGGTTTGTGCTTGGTGTTGGAGCCCTCCATCTCCTCATCAGCAAAGAAACGGAACAGCAAAGGCTCATCCTTGAATTCACTCTTTTCCAAAACTAAAGAAAGCAACAAAGCTATGAATGAATATCAGAGCAGAAAAAGACTAAATATGAGTAAATGTGGAGAAGAATCAATGCATTAGATATAAAGTGCGCAATGAGCTGGAAATAAACAGCAGGTACAGACACAAAGTCAAAAAAGTTTTACAAAATTTGGGAAAAAAATTAGCCTAAAAGGTTTTTTAATGCCTCTTAACATAATTCTACCATAATATAGCTATTAATATATTGCAGAGATTAAAAAAATAAAAATTTACGAAGTGGTTCTCTCGCGTTTGTCAAAAAATCTCCACCAATAACATGTTTGCTATCAACCCGAGCAGTTCAGCTCAACTCTCTTTTTCTGTGATTTTACAGAAAAACAGGCACAGTAAAAATGCCAGGGCTGATTCTACAGGACCAGGGCATTGCAGGAGAATGTATGAAGAAGAAATGCATTATTTCTATACATGTTTTGGCTGTCAAACTTCCATAATGCCACTTTAAACATTTTGGATACAAACTGTTTTTTTGTTTTTTTTTATTAAAAACAAATAAAGGAGCACTGTACTACATCACCACAGGCTAAACTCTCCCAGAGTTACCCCAAGGGCCAATTTGGTGAGCAACCCCAAAAATTTCTTTGGCCCCATCAGGCCACCCTATCAAAATTTTCTGGAGGTGCCTCTGCTACTGTCCCCTATCACCAAGAAAAATACACACAGTCACTTTAAGGCTGATTACAGATTTTTGCAGATATTTTATACATTATATGTATTTCCCTAAAATGTCGACACCATGTAAAAGCAATCACACCTTCATTGGTTCACTGCTTCAGTTAAACCCCATTTACAATCCCACTCAATCACTATCACTGTCAAATGCCCAAACAAGTATCACATGACCAACCTTCTCCCCTCCCCCTGCTGAAACACATACCCAAATGCCAACAAGAAGGAAACATACATTGGCTGTTAATATTGGCCCAGTGCATCCCTAGACAATATCTCCATGTGAAACTGTTTAATCATCATGCCTATTATATAATTGTTAATGCTTGACACCTTACCGATGATTATAGCCAACAATCATTGATTTTTGCATTAAGTAGAAAAGTTTAAACTCTAAAAGTGAATCCACCAAAAACGCCAAATGGATCTTTCCCAAATGTTGCAACACCCATAATAAAATGCAATATTGCAAAAGAGTCTGAGAAAATGAAAAGCCCAGTTACAGAATAAACATCACTTGTGTATATATATAGCTCCTGCAAAAAAGCAACAAATCCACCCTTCAGTATGAAAAAAAAAAAAAAAAAAAAACTGTGGGGGGGAAACAAGAGTTTTCTTTTGACATTCAACTTAATTCTCTTCTAGATCAGATATAGTGCCAATAGTTTTAATGGCTACATCGTCAGGCCAAATAACTCACAGGCATGAGCGGTAAAATTACCCTGCAGGCTGCGGCAGAGCAAAGACATGTGATGGCTGAGGGTTTAATGCTCTATAGATGTGCAGATAATTTGTAGCGTGTGGTTTGAACTCCGGGCATTTCGGCCAAGTTACATCATGGGGAGACATGATGTGACTCACGCTGTATATGCTGTGGACTTTGGCAATATGGACTTAAAAACAAACCTGACGCTCATAAACAGTGTTACCATAGCTACAGTTTGTTCTGCGTTCATCCCCTAGCAAGGAAAAAAAACATGCATAAAACCCAACACGTCAAGATGCATGTATGTATGAAAAGAGCCGCTAATACACAAATGTATTCACTGGGTTGGGGGAAAAGCTCTATTCCTGTACTGTGTCAAAGGGATTAAACGGAAAAAGAACAATAATGGTTGTGTTCTAAGACAGGATGCTAAATGACAGGATCCAAAGTAGAATTTCTTGTAAGCAGTTAACTTTAATTTGGTCTACGATGAGAGAGTTCCAAAGGTTTAAAGCAGCAGCGTGTAGTTTCCTGGCGCTAGGGGGGCAGTAGATACATTTCAGGGTAAATTTGCACCACATCACTGTGACTGTCGCCACATAAAAACATTACGGTAAACATTGTTGTTGATGGCTGTATTTTCCAGATCTGCTCAGGGTCCTGCGCCTGCTGATGATGTCATCATACTACTGCAATAACCGCTTGGCCAAAATATATTTCATCATATTTCTTCTATTCTGTTCTTTCACATGTTTTGGAAAGAGTTTAGCAGTTTCGTTATTAAATTAGTTTTTCTTACTGCCTAAATGTCTTTGAACATGGTAACGTATGCTTCCATAAGTCGTACATCCAGCCATTGACAGGCTGTCCAGAAGCAAATATGGCGTCCCTCAAAGATGCCAGACCCATGCCCTATAGACTTTGACCCAATTTTTATGGTCCAACTGAACACCATTTTATTCATTTTCAATAACGTTTCAATGCGTTTCCAGAGATTAAAAGTGAAAACTACACATTGTCCCTTTAAGTGGTGTGTTTTAAACCTGAAACAAGAATGGCAGTACCGTGGTGCATGAAGCCATTGTAGCACAGCTCTACCCCCAAGATCACAGCTTCCTCTCTTGTTCTGCAGTCCCCCTGCAGAACAAGACAAGAGAAAAAAACACATAAAAGGAATAAACAGGCTGACTGAGACGATGCAAAGTAAACAAGGAAGACAGTAGAAAGAAAGTTTGGGGCTTTGGAGGAACCCTGAGGCCAGCAGAACCACCTCATACTTCACCCTAAACGCATCCCAAGTCTTGTCTAGACGGTTAAGTGTGACAGCATTTAAGGTTGCAGGAAGTGGGAGCAATTCTATCAACCCAAGTCAAATGCATTTATATGGACACACACACACACACACACACACACACACACAAGGGCGCTTACAGCATATGATGTCTAGCTTTAATTCTGCCATTGTTTAAAATCTGTCTCTTGGCTTTGTTGTCATCCCATACAGGACTATTAATCTATCAAACTCAGCACTTCCTGTCAGGGCGAATGAGACTCAAATCTATTTAGCTTCTTTCCTCCATTTCCTATAAAATCTGTTGAATCTCGGTTTTCATGGCCTTTCTGTCTTTAGTGTGCAACGCACACTTAAAGTGGGCAGCCTGTTAGGACAATAGCCCCTTCTATCTTCTTGCCTTTCCTCTGCAGAAATCTGTTTCCAATGTGCTCAGAAGTCTGTGGAGAGGATTTAAATATAATGACATGGATTTGCCAGGGAAATCTAAATCTTAAAAATTTGATTCTGCTGTTAAAATTGTTTCTTTTTCTTGTAGTTTACTGGGATAGAACATGGTTTTCGCTGGCGCATCACATAGATTTGGCCTCTTCTTGAAGAAAAACATAGAAGTCAACAAATAAAACAGGATTTTTATGTGTTTTTGAGACAGTACACAGCGGTGTGAGGCAGATCTGGGGACTTACCTGTGCTATGAGCCAGTCTATCAGCTTGTTAGCCATGACCACTGATTTGTAGGTTCGTAAATGATAGTCCTTATCTCTAAAAGGGCACAAAAGCAGAATTCTATAAAAACTTGTATCTGTTTAATTTCACTGCAACATTCTGAGCCTGTGGTCTCCGTAATTTTCTCTGGCCCCCTGCCTGATCGGACCAGTGACGACCGCATGCTGTCCTTCAACCGCTGGTTGTCTAGGAGGTGGTGTCCTGAACACAACATGGGCTACATTGATAATTGGAAAACTTTTTGGGGAAAACCTGGTCTGATGCGGAGAGACGGCATCCATCCCTCTTTGGATGGAGCAGCTCTTCTTTCTAGGAACATGGCCAGTTTTATTAGTCCTCCATGACAACCCAGGGTCCAGACCAGGAAGCAGAGTCGTAGTTTAACACACCCCTCTGCAGCTTCTGTACTGTTACCCACCCAGTACCCCATAGAGACAGTGTCCTGCCCACGGCCAAAATCACACAGATTAAACATCAGGCTTAATGAAGCAAATCATGGAAATCTCATAAATGTTAGAACAAATTCAACTGAGCAGGAAACTAGAAAAATTAAATGTGGGTTGTTGAACATTAGATCCATTTTTTCTAAGACTTTGTTAGTTAATGACTTGATTTGTGATAATCAGATCTCTTTGCTCTCTCTCACAGAATCCTGGCTGCAGCAAGAGGACTATGTTAGCTTAAACGAGTCGACTCCATCAAATTATTTAAATCATCATATTGCTCGAAGTACAGGGCAAGGAGGACAAGTAGCAACCATTTTTCATTCTGACTTATTAATCAGTCCCTTACCAATTAATAGCTACAGTTCGTTCAAACATCTTATTCTTAGTTTTCCTAATCCAGATTGCAAAACTGTAAAACCACTCTTGTTTGTAGTTTATATCGTCCACCAGGCCCTTACTCTGGGTTTTTGGATCAGATCTCTGATTTTTTATCTGATTTGGTGCTAAATACTGATGAGGTCATTGTAGTGGGGGATTTTAATATTCATGTGGACATTGAAAATGATAGCCTCAATGTAGCCTTTAGTAATATCTTAGACTCAACTGGTTTTACTCAAAGAATACATAGCTCCACCCACTCCTGCCATCATACATTGGACCTTGTGCTGACTTATAGCACAGAGTGTGAGGAAACAATTATCTTTCCACATAATCCAGTCCTCTCGGACCACTTTCTGATAACCTTTGAGTTTTTTATAACTGAGTTCTCGAGACATGAAAGTAAATTTCATTATAGTCGGTCTCTATCTGACAACACAGTTGCATCTTTTAAATCAACTGTTCCATCTTTACTGTCCTCAGCATCTCAAAGGCATGTAGCAAAGGACATTATTTTCAGTTCTAGTCCCTCACAAATTGATGCCTTAGTTTATCATGTTAATTCCTCTTTACGTGTGGCATTAGATGATGTTGCCCCTTTAAAAAAGGTAATTAGGGACAGGAAGTCGGCTCCCTGGTTTAATTCTCATTTACGAGCCTTAAAACAAAACTCTAGGAAATTGGAGAGAACATGGCGCTCTACGCACCATGAGGAGGCCTACCTATCCTGGAAAAATAGTCTTGTGCTTTATAAAAATAAGCTTAGACAAACTAGAACTGCTTATTTCTCAGCATTAATTGAGGAGAATAAGCATAATCCTAAATTTCTTTTCAGTACAGTTGCTAAACTTACACAGAATCATAGCTCTGAGCCATCTATTCCCTTGGCCCTCAGCAGCAATGACTTCATGGGATTTTTTACAATTAAAATTAATTCTATTAGAAACAAAATCTTTAGCATCCTCCCTAATGCGATTTCTTTTTCCTCAGTAAGTGAGGCAGCATCAGAGGTGACTGTAGAACCTCATCTGTGCTTGAACCGTTTTGATCCAGTTGAGCTTTCATATTTATCAGAAGTATTAGCTTCATCTAAACCTTCAACTTGCATTTTGGATCCAATCCCAACCAAATTATTTAAAGATGCATTTCCTTTGGTTACTGCCCCCATTCTAGATATAATCAATCTATCCTTAGTAAATGGATATGTACCACAGGATTTTAAGGTTGCTGTAATCAAACCTTCACTTAAGAAGCCTTCTCTGGATCCAGGTGACCCAATGAATTATAGACCAATATCTAACCTTCCATTTTTATCCAAAGTCCTGGAGAAAATAGTGCCCATCCAAGTATGTGAGCAGTTAAACACTAATGATCTGTTTGAGGAATTTCAGTCTGGTTTTAGAGAGTATCACAGCACTGAAACTGCATTAGTGAGAGTTACAAATGATATTCTCATGGCCTCAGATAAGAATCTTGTGTCTGTTCTAGTCTTGTTAGATCTCAGTGCTGCCTTTGACACAGTTGATCACAATGTTCTTTTAGAAAGACTTGAACATGTTGTAGGGATCAAAGGAACAGCGTTAGGCTGGTTTAAATCCTACCTGTCTGACAGATTTCATTTTGTAAATGTACATGACAAATCGTCTTCATACTCCAGGGTTACTTGTGGAGTACCACAGGGTTCAGTGCTTGGACCAATTCTTTTTACTATATATATGCTCCCAATAGGTAAAATCATTAGACAGCATGGGATAAACTTCCACTGTTATGCTGACGATACTCAGTTATATTTATCCATTAACCCTGATAAACCTAATCGGTTAGGTAGATTACAGGCTTGTCTTGAGGACATAAAAAATTGGATGACTCTACACTTTTTGCTTTTAAATCAAGACAAGACGGAAGTTCTCATCTTTGGACCAGAAATCCAGAAAAGGAAATTGCTTAGTCAATCACCTGACCTGAATGGCATTACATTAATCTCCGAGAACAAAGTAAGGAACCTTGGTGTTATCTTTGACCAGGACATGTCATTCAAATCCCAGGATAAACAGGTTTGTAAGATTTCCTTTGTCCACCTTCGGAATATTGCTAAGATTAGAAGCATCCTTTTCAGGAGTGATGCTGAAAAACTAGTTCATGCATTTATTACATCAAGACTGGATTACTGTAATTCATTACTCTAAGGAAGTCCACAGAATGTAGTTAAAAGTCTTCAGCTTGTCCAAAATGCTGCAGCTAGAGTTCTGATGAGAATTAAAAAGAGAGATCATATCTCTCTTGTCTTAGCTTCCCTACATTGGCTACCTGTTAAATTCAGAAAAGATTTTAAGATCCTTCTTCTCACATATAAAGCTCTTAATAATCAAGCTCTATCATACATCAGTGATCTGATTGTTCCATACGTTCCTAACCGAGCACTTCGCTCTCAGACTGCAGGTTTACTGGTGGTTCCCAGAATATCTAAAATTAGGATGGGAGGCAGATCTTTTAGTTATCAGGCTCCTCTCCTGTGGAACCAGCTCCCAGCCTTAGTCCGTAAGGCAGACACCTTGTCTACTTTTAAGAATAGGCTTAAAACATTTTTATTTGATAGGGCCTATGATTAAAATCTGATGTTAGCCTAAATCAGGACAAGAGGGGGAGTAGAAGGAGGTGGAGTGTACAGTCGGTAAAGACGGCTCTCCCTTGCCCTGCCTCCAACATGCCTCCATCTAAATAGGATAGATTATCCAGAGTTATTTCTGTAGTTATGCTGCTATAGGCTTAGACTGCTGGAGGATACACTGACCACTTTTCACACTCTACTACTTTCTTCTACAATCTGCTCTTTAACTGTATTATTTTCTGCAATTTCAGCTGTTAACTTTATTTTCTCTCTAAGTGTTTTTCTCCCCAGAAGAAGCTACAACGATGTTCTGCTGAACTGTGGTGGCCTCATGGAGGGGGCTATCGTCTAGCACACTGCTGCTAACCACTTAAACATTCTCCCTCTCCTGATAATAACTTTTTGCTTTCCTTGACATTGGATGTGCTACTACTAGTTTATCCGTTTAATTATAGATCCACTAGGATAAATACAATAAAGTTTATTTCTCACCAAATAGAATATTTACTAAGAAATCACAATGTAACCATAGACACATTACTTTGTCTTTGTGTGTGTGTGTGTGTGTGTGTGTGTGCGTGCGTGCGTGCGTGCGTGCGTGCGTGCGTGCGTGTCTGCCTGCTCTGTCTTCTCGATCCCCAGTGAGTCGTGGAGGATGGCTGCTTATACTGAGCCAGGATTCTCTGGAGGTTTCTTCCTGTTAAAAGGGAGTTTTCCTCTCCACTGTCACTTTATGCTTGCTTAGTATGAGGTTTGCTGTAATGCAATTTGCTGGGTTCCTTATATAGGAAACATTATTTCTGATTGGCTTACTGAACTGACCTGAATTGGAATGTTTATTATGTGAAGTGCATTGAGACGACTCTTGTCGTGATTTGGCGCTATATAAATAAACTTGAATTGAATTGAATGGTCATGTACATGAGTAATTGTGTGGTCTGTTTAAACACAATGCTTAAAGTAGGACTCATAACTCATTGCTGTCAGCAACGTGTTGCTACTTTTTAGGTTCTGGCAGTTGTGTCACTCATCTAAGTGAGTTCCTGAGGTTTGGTGACAGCGAAATAGCATTCCTCGGAGCAACGCTGGTATGGTATTGCTGTTTTCAGTGTTACGCACTCAGCCGCTCTTTGGCAGACCTTGAGAATGCTGTTTGAAATGGAGCTGTGACTTTCCCACCAAAGCGTTGGCCTCCTAGGGGCCTGAGCAGCAGGGCCGGGAAAGTCCTGAACTGCCGAGACTTACGCTGCACCGCCGCCTCCACCACATGCATGCGAACACACTCGCTCCGAGACGCACACAACCTACGGTCCCCAACAGTTCGAGCAAGTCAAACACGGCTTGTAGGCCAAAGTTAAAGACCAATCTCAGCTGTCTGGTGCGCCTCAGAACCTGAAGCGTGACAGTGAAGCCCCGTTTCCCTCCACAATGAAACACTCTGTTGTGTAAGTGCATCTGACAGCCTGTGTTTGTGTCTGATGAGAGCTACCACACAAAAAACACTTTGGCCTGGAGGAGGAGGAGGAGGAGGCAATGCTGTTTTTTCTCCTGAATGGGATACCAGAACCAGAGCAACTGGGGGTAGAAAAAGAAGTGAGGTTGTCAGAGTGAAAAATGGGGGTAAACATCGGCCCAGTGGGCAGCCATATGGCGGGGGTGAGGAAACTGCAGATTAAGTAGTGGAAGAAGTAAAGGTCAAAAAAGTGGTTTTTAACTAGCTGTCTGAAAAGAAAAGTTTGCTTTGACATTTTGTGAGAGGATGGAGGTGATTGTACTTTCAAAGCAAACACTGGGATAAATCATACAAGGGAAGCTAAAAGTTCACGTTTTAATCACCTGCTGACAAATTACTAACGTAAAAGCACCCGATCATTTGTTATGTTGGATTTGCTACGCCTACATACATAAATATTGGTTTGATTCATCAGTGTTTTTATAAATAACATTTTTGATGTGTTCTGTAATTTCACACAATAAACCTCCCGTTCTTATTATCATTTTAATGTGTCTAAAGTAAATATTTAACTTTTGGAAACTCTTGGAATGAACACATTTAAAAATAAAAGAAAAAACACAGAGAAAAGAGGGCGCATACATTTGGTCTGCGACGTAGTTTATGCCTCCCCCTCCTTTGTCTCATCCCTCTGGCTCTGCCAGGAAATTCCACCTAATTAGACAGAAGCTGGTTGCTCCAATTAAACTCTCTCATTCCCAGGCCCTGTGATGTATTCAGTTGGGCTTTCAGTAAAAGTGCACTGGGTGGACCTGCTGGTTACACTCAAGCATCCCAACAAGAGTTATTACGCCAAGACGTATGGCACAAAAACACCAACAGAGTGAATGGTGGCACCCTAAAAAATTCAAACACAGATTCACTCTTCGGGCTTTGGATCAAGGGAGCGATGACGAGCCATACACCGAAAGTTGCTAAGTAGAAAAATACATTTCAGTGAAATTTCGAGTTGTGGTCATTGAAAAAGTAGCTTGAGCTTTTTCAGAACCGACCATTTGTTTCCAATTCTATGTTAGTATTGTTAGCTTACTGTTAGCCTCTATGCTTCTTTACCCAATATTAGAGGCTAACAAAAAGATGCTGTGGCTTATTAAGGGTACACCAGCTCAGTGACCTAGTGGTATGAGTGTCCACCCTAAGACTGGGAGATCATGAGTTCAAATCAGTGGTCGGGTCATACCAGAGACTTTAAAAATGGGACCCAATGCTACCCCGCTTGTTAAGGGGTTCGATTGGGGGGGGGGGGGGGGGGGGGGTAAACCACCAAATAGTCCTCAAGCGTGACAATCTCTGCAGCTAGCTACTCCCCTAGGGAATAGGTCAAATGTGGAAAACAAATTTCACAACACACCAGTGTGTGTGGGACAACTAATGGGACTTTAATCTTTAAAATAAATAACTTTGGGTCACTCCTGTTTACTGGTTAACATTCTTTTCAAATTGCTGCTGCTCTTTCCACCGGTGTCAAATTACGACTAGGTGAAAACTTGGCAGCCCCACGGGATCACAGACTGTAAACAAAGACTACGTCCCTCTTTCATTTTCTTTGTTTCCTAGGAGAAAAACTGACAACCCCCCAAGCTGGCTAAAGCCTGGTTCATGCTTCTCCGTCAGCTCCGCAAGAGACAGACACGCACGGATTGACGGAAGCGTTTTGCTCTTTTACTTCTCCGTCTCCTGGAGAGTGTTGCAAAGCAATTGCCCGGCAGGACCACAGAGGGCGTAGTGCTGTTCTGTGGTATCCTGTCATGTATCGGTCCAAGATAGTGTGTTTATATTGTGTTTTCTGTGTATATAAGAGACTTTTAACACGGACATATTTGTCTCTCATCCTCCTCCACCTCTTCATGCGCTCCCCACCTCTAAACCCACGTTTCCTGTCATTTCCGTCAACAAATAAAACGCTTGCTGCGCATCTATTCACTCCTCCAGTCACGGGAGAATTAAACGTTCATATTTTTAGAGTTGTTCGCGAGGATTCTCCAAGCTTCTTCGTGTCTGCCGCTTGTTATCCTCGGCTCTCTTTATGTTTTTGAGAGCGCAATGGTGGCGCTGTAAACAACAGCAGCGTCCTGACCAATCACAAGCTTGCGTTGTCCGTCTCGACTGACGAATTTTTAGAAAAGAGAGCTCGACTCCGTCCGTTCTTGCGGAGCTCTCCGGCAGGTACGCAAGGACGGATAATGGCGTTGCGTGTCTCCGCACTGATGCAGACGGAGAAGCATGAATCAGGCTTAAGAAGGAAATCTGTTTCAACATAACCTTCTTCCCAACAAGATCGAGACAAACTGTTTTGTGGTTTGTTTTCATCGTAGCATTCTTACATATTGCTCCTTTAAATGTGTAGTTTTTACCATTGATCTCTGGAAAAATTAATCAAAAATGTCGAAAGTGAATTAAATGATGCCCAGTTGTTGAAAAATATTGGTGGCTTTGTAACATATAACCATAAAAATCGGGTCTAAAATACATGGGAGCGGGTCTAAGTCTCTGGGTGACGCCATATTAGACAATATGTTTCCTTCTACAGAAGCCCGTGAGGACAAAAATAATTTACTGATTTTTAACAAACAGTTCTACATTTTTCACCATTCATAAATGTTGTTTTACACATTTACCTCTTCACTAGTTGCCAGTGATGAAACAGAGTCTGGTTATTTTGCTGGAGGTTGCGCTCTCAGGGATTTTTGACCCTAATGGGCATCCATTGGTAAGGTCTTACTTAAACACAAAAATATCGCTTGCATTAAATGATTTAGGTATGTACTGCCCCTATCGCCAGGGAAAATGTCACTTTAAAGAAAGCTGTTTTTATCCAGATCCTAAACCAAGCAGAAATACCGTATTTTCCAGAGTATAAGTCGCACCAGCCATAAAATGTATAATGAAGAAGAAAAAAACATATATAAGTCGCACTGGACTATAAGTCGCATTTTGGGGGGAAATTTTATTCTTTTTCTTACAAAATCTGAGACCAAGCATTTCACATTGCAAGACAAGTACCGGTAACAATAACAGAATAAACAACCAGGGCGCAGCAGCGCACCTTGGTCTCCAGCAGAGGATGGCAGCGTTTCAAACCCTCCCAGCGGGCGGGGAGAGCTTATTCCTGGGCCGGAGCCGGCCCGCAGCACCCCGCCACAGGCTGCAGCAGGTGATGGCGGGGCAGAGGAGCTTATTCCTGGTCCGGAGCCGGTCCGCAGCAGCGCGGTATACGTAATTTGGTATACAAGTCGCTCCGGAGTATAAGTCGCAAGACCAGCCAGACTATGAAAAAAAGTGTGACTTATAGTCCTGAAAATACGGTAGACGCCATATTTAAACCTTAAACCTTTGCCCACATCACCACACTCAAGGCTTTCAGCTTAATCTTGTTCTATGTGCAAAAGTATAAAATTCAATGGATGCATACCTGATGACAGGAGTGAAGAGGCTATGAAGACGGCAGAACAGCCGAACACCCTGAGAATTTTTAAAAAATAAAGAAAGAAATGGTTGCAATTGGATATTTTCAAGGTAGAAATGGGAATTCAGCTTCTACTGTTGCATCTGTACCTTGGCTATAACATCATGCATGTCGCTTCTGGGATGAAAGGTGCCGTCGTCTAGGCGAAAGCGGTACAGCACAGGCTCAGGCTTAAACTGATGTTTGTCTGTGACTGGGACACAAAAAAGGAGAAGCAGATAGAAAAATGAAAAGAGATGTGCCAAAGTTCGAAAAGAAACAACTAAAGAAAAAAGTGAACTCTGTAGGGAGCGCTATTTGTTTGGCTTTAAACTCGGAAGTATAAGAGGTTTAAATTTATATTCAGGCCAAGCAGGGCTGCATAAAGAAACGAGCTTTCCACAGAGGTGGAGAATCCAACCTCACGCAAAGCTGTCACACATAACACGGCCGCTCAGAGCTCCATGCTTCACTTGCTTCAGGCGGCTTTCACGTGCTCCCTCCAGCTCTAATAGGTTGGCTCCTTTTTCTTAGCCGCAACCATGCAGGTTCCATTAAAGGTTCTTATGAAAAGATCTTCCTGTTTTTCCTCGTGGGGATGTCCAACTGCACTAAGGGATGCTCAGAGGGGCTCGGGGTCATTCCTTTCTGTCAGAAACGGCTTTAAAACCCAATTCTGTTTCCAAGTGAGGAAGCAATTTCATTCCTCTGAATGATTCAGGACCCAACTTGACATTCAGCCTTACTCTGAACGAATAATGTATGAAGATGAAAATAGGTCATATATTAACTAACTAATAATCAGCTATAACCTCGTGCATTTACTGTACATTAGCTTTGTTAACTAAAGCTTGGGAGTTTTTAACATTTCTGTAGAATTCCAGACCGTTTGTTATTTCCTCGCTCTCTTACGCGTCACGAAATTTGGAACAATCGGAGGATCAAATTTCCTTTTGCTGCTGGAATCTGGAAGCAGTCTGTAACCCTTCTCAGAATACTTAATAATTAAGGTTGGGTGATACGTATACATGTTTCCAAGCAATATTTGTCAGTCAAACAAATGACGATGAGGTGAGGTTTTCACTTTTTGTTAGCGTGACAAACACTTCATGTAGCGCTTCACCAATCCCAAACGTCCTTAAGTTTAATGCAAAAGACCGTTAGGGGCCTTCATGGGAGATTGTTGTTTTACAAACTTCATTGGCCATTTGATGAGTCAATGAACAACATATTGTGCCACGACTGTTTTGAGATGGAGCGGTATTTCTGACCTATTGGCCAATAGTTGAAGACCTTGCCCAATCCTTCACCAACTGCATCAGGTGAGATGTCGCTCAAAAGTATGAAGCTAATATGAGATGCTAACAGAAGCTGTGATTCCATGCTGTAGTTCTTTTTTAAAACACAGAGCAGTTTTGTTGACCTGTTTTCCCGCTACGTTACGTTTTCGTTTGCGGCTGCAAACTTCCTCATGCTGACGCGTTAGCCTGAGGAAGTTTGCAGCCGCAAATGAAACGTAGCGGGAAAACAGGTAAACAAAACTGCTCTGTGTTATAAAAAAGAACTACAGCATGGAATTAGAGATACGACACAGCAAGAACACACCTAAGCTAAGAAGCTGTGATGATGTGATGATTAGGACAGCAGTAGCTCAGGAGGTAGAGCGAGTTGTCTCATGATCGGAGGGTCGTGGATTTCACTCCAGCACCCCCGGCCAGGGGTTTTCTGCTGTTTTGTTCTTGGGCAAGACACTTCACACAACTTGGTTGATGGCGGGAAATGGTAGTCTTGCCTGTCAAACTGCCCCTTACCATCACCGACAGTATATGAATGTGAGAGTGTGTGAATATTCAATTTGGGTGCCTTGAAAAGCACTATATAAATCCAATCCATTATTATTATTATTATTATTATTATTATTATTATTATTAGAGATGCACATGAAGGACATTTTTAAGCGCTGTATTATGTTGGGTTGTGGACGTGAGACCATTTTTGTTTGAGATGGATCTATTTTGTCAGTGATGAATAGTGAACTGCTATTATTTAGCATTTCTGCGTGGTTTGACAAAAGCTGTGTCTACAGTTATGGCTGTATCCTTGACTGGCATACATTATTGGAAACAAGAATCCCTACTTATCAATGATGCATAATATGTATATGTGCAATGAATGTTGAAACAATGATGCTGATTTGACAATGAGGTATGTAACGTTAGTTTAAGAGCTTATTCTATCTTCAATTGTCAATAAATTCATCCAACATTAGCGTACATGAGTCAAAAAGTGTAAATGTAAAGCACGTTGGATGGGTTGGTGAACACATCACATCTCCCTCATGACTTGTCCTTAAACAAAACTTCTCACAAACTAACTAGTTCAGTTGTTAATTAAAAACGTTTCTGTGCAACCCAAGAACGTCAATGGCATGCCAACCTAAAACTACAAATGTGCAACATAAAGCAAAAAAATTAAAGAATGATAAAGAACGTCTGAAATGTACAAAAAAGAACAAACCGTGGTGGATGATGCCATTCTCCAACAGAGCTTGACCCAGGTGGACTCCTTCCTCTGGGTTGCCCGTCTCACCAATTTCCATCAGCCAGGACACAAACTCACTGGGGGAAAACACGAAACACAACGTTGGCATGAATAAACGCTTGGTAACCCAAAGAAAAAAACAACCATGAAACTAGGATTGGGACAATATTACATGTAACTTGTACCAAGTTTTGTAACCTGTAACATGTTTTGTAACTGTAACTTTTTTTAGCATGTAATTCTTTTTTTTGTAACACGTAAAATTTAATACGTAACATGCAGTGGTGGGCAGTCAGGGCCAGCAAAGCCTTCTCTGCTGGCCTAAATGTACTCAAAAGCGTAAATGTATTTTTTTTACTTTGGTAATTATTTTTAAATAAAAAAAATGTTTACTGGTCTATTTTCTTTATATCCTATTATACCCACTTGGCTGTGCTGCTTCCAGTGTTAAAATACCAAGGCTGGGTGTTATCCAATCAGATTTAAGCTAGCTTGTGTTTTCAGGCAGATTAAGTCTGCCCTAGGCCTTCAGAATCAATCGAGAAGCCCACTGTCCGCTGTAAGTGAACAGAGACGATCTAGTTGCGATAGCCAATCAGCTCACGAGTCAGCTTGGCCCGGGCCAGCTAGCTGGCCTCACGCAAAAGTTGACATGAACGCATCCTGTGATTGGATAAGCAGTAGTTAGAACTTTTCTAGCAGCATTAAGCAAAATATCAAAACTAAATACGGAGATTTGTACCTATAGGCAGCTATCGGTGTATTTTTGAACACATGATGGCTGAAAGAGGAGAAGGGACCGACTTGGTGGCAGATTTACTTGCCACACCATTTTCAAGACGGACCTTTCAAGAAAAAATGGATATTGTGAGAACAGGTCGTCTGACTCCAACGCTAGCTGGCTTGTCCCAGCAGGGGAAAGGATTTGTTCGTCATTTTCAGGCAAGCAACTATGAACGGTACCCACGGCTAACAGCTTCAGAGAACCGCTGCAGGTTATTCTGCTGGGAATGCCCGTTGCTCGCATCAGATGGATTTGGTAGCATTAAAGCGCGTTAAAATGTACGCCAGAAACACGACCGGACAGACACGTCTTTCAGCATTAGCCTCCATGTCCATAGAAAAGGATCCACTCATGGTCCTGAAGTGCACAGATAAACTGTACAGAGCCACTGAGGTTTTACTGAGGAAAGAAAGAAGGATGGATTTTATTTTCTAATGAGCAGGAGAGGAGGAGATCCATGCTGGACATTTATGTTGGTGAGTAGAAACATTTTATTAATATTTTTTTAATGTTTTGTCATTTTATTTTGTTAATAATCAATAAATGGTAACGAAATAAAATGACAAAATGAAATTATTCTGTGTTCTGTTTCTATGCAATTTATATTGTGAATGACGTGGTGTGTGCAGCTGCGCCAACATGTTCAATTGTTTCGTGGTACAATTTTCTCCAAAACAAATGCAAATAATGTGTTTGCTTTACTTATTTATTTTATTGTCTCATCTCTTAAACCCGTCTTTCATTTCTGAGATTTGACGGTGTCCGTGGTCAGCTTCCTACTCTCAACTGGGAATGCGAGTTTGATTTTAAAGACTCTGGAAATTATGTGTCTTGACCAGCCACTGGGTGTGTGTGTGTGTGTGTGTGTGTGTGTGTGTGTGTGTGTGTGTGTGTGTGTGTGTGTGTGTGTGTGTGTGTGTGTGTGTGTGTGTGTGTGTGTGTGTGAGTGAGGTTTCTCCAGCTGTGATGTCCTATTGATGGTATTTTAAGGTGTATTAAATTAGATTGGACTGAAATGGAAATCATTTTATAACTTACAGAAAACAATCAATCTATAAAATAAAAGTTTCATGTCACATACCAAAGTTACATGTTACAAAATGAGAATTACATGCTACTAAACTGAAGTTACTTGTTAAAAAATGAAAGTTATATGTTAGAAAACAAGTTTTGTGTTACAAAATGAAGGCTACGTGTAACAAAACGTGAATTACATGCTACAAAACAAAAGTCATAGTTACAAAACATGTTTCAAGTTACTAAATGTGGTACAAGGTAAATGTAATATTGTCCCAATCCTAGTTCCATAAACAACAAAAATACAAAGAAATACACAAAGGAGATCTGGAGAGTTCTCCATTCACCCTTGAGACATAAACATATGGTTTATTTACTGTTAAGGGCCACGCTTGTCTCATAAAACAACCAATTTTGTCTATTTCACTTCATTTGTTTTTCACTTGCAGAACAGCACCCTCATATACAAACAGTTAACTGGATCTTGGCAATTACTTGATAGAAAACAAGAAAGAGAAAACAAACCAGCCACAAGAAGCAACAAACACCATCTGATGCTCTAATAGGCTGAATGAGCTGAATGGGGTAATTTTATTTCATTTGCTGAGAAGAAAAAATAGGACAAGGAGAACTAGAGAAACTCAGCAGGACCCTTTCTGGTTACATCCTTCTAATCTCTTTTCACCACAAAAGTCAAACAAACACGGTGAGGAGCACCACTGGAATGCTCCGGAGCTCACTTCCAGGCCATGATGGAGATCGTGTGCATTTAATATGGAGGTCATGTAATTGCTTCTTCTTCTTCTTCTTCTTTAACGTTTTAAGGCAGACTGCCTCATTGACTGATCTCCGTCCCATGAATACGTCACTAAGTTTGTTGCTCTGATTGGTCCTAGTGCTGTCCAATTGTGTGAAGAGATCAGAGGTATGACCAAGTCACTGCTATGCAAGTCACAAGTCTTTCCAGTCAAGTCCAAGTCAAAGACAACCAAGTCCAAGCTGAGTCCAAAGTCGATGTGGAAGTCGAAGTCAAGTCCAAGTCCTTAACTTAGAATTTTCAAGTCATATTCAAGTCATCTGTCCAACTTCAATTTAATGACAATGATAATAAATAAATTCCAGAAATAAAGCTTCTTAAACCTTCGTTTATTTGCTCAAACAAGCAGAAAGTGCAACTGAAACTGATTCTAAACAAAGTGTTGCTGCATTTAGCAGAACAAGATCAAACCAGAACCAAGAATGATTCATGATTTTTGTCCACGTTGTGCCACTTTTGTGCTAAAATATTAATTATGCTCAAGTCATCATCAAGTCAAAAGATGCAAGTCGATTCAAGTCGCAAGTCATTGGCATTCAAGTCCGAGTCAAGTTGTAAGTCTTTATAGATTTTATCAAGACAAGTGAGAAGTCATTAAAATAATGACTCGAGTTGACTCGAGTCCACACCTCTGGAAGAGATATTTTGAAAGACGACAATAGATTCTGCCTCTACGACTGAGCTTTGTCTACGGGTCGTGGCCAGACTACTTACACATATAAGGTGGCTTGCTAGTCGAACTTTCTGGCACATAAAGAGCAGGGTTGGTTAAAAAGGACGTCGAGTTTTTGTAAATAAAATTTCCAAGGACATATCTGCAAATCACAACTAACTGTATCAATTACATTTAATTTTGTCATTTAGTCTGAAAAGCTTTACATTGTTTTCTTAATTTATTCTCATTTTATTCTAAATGTAGGATTTGTAGTGTCCAGCTCTTATTTTTGTCTGAAGGAGAAAGCAGGAAAGCTTGTCCATGGTTGATTATTAGTGCATTTTAACATAAATGATAAACATTTATGTGTTAAAAGGCTAGAGATAAAACAAATGTGTCCGTTTTTAGATGTTTCATTGGTCATTTGAGACCATCGATAAACAGCAAAGTGACTAGATGCTAGGCTAAACACGCTGTTAGCTGTAGCTCTAATCTGACTAAAACAGTGATTTTAGTTATTTACAAACAATAAATGTAAATTTATCAGTTTCACATCTATTTAACACTCTGATTAACACACTGTCATCAAAGCTGATGCTGCATTCAAAGTCATTCAAAAGAATCTCGGTTTCGTGTCAACATCATTCGTAGAAAATGTCACTTGTTGTAGGTTTTAAACATGACAAGAACTTCCATTTAAGAGGATTTCACAAATTTCATCTTTTATGTTTCGCTTCATTACAAAAAACAACCAACAGAAACTGTTGTGCCATTTAAAAAGGAGGCCCAGAAATAGCCTCCAGACCTAAATAGCAAAAGCAAGACGAAACCGAGTAGATGTGGTGAGAGGATGAAGGCGCAGCATTTCACAATGGAAGGAGTGGGCTGAGTTAAAGCCATTGGCAATGTGGTTTTCATTAAAGATATACGATGCCGTTTCTCACTCAACAATTACGCCTACATGTAATCAACTCCAGATTCATCAGGCCAGAGGAAGAACGAGACAAGTTTTTTTAACCACAGATGGTCGTCCAGGTGTTGCATGTGAAGGGGAGCTTTCCACAAGGAGCTCCTCTGAGATTATTTCACACCACATGATCTCTTTAGACTCATTCAGATGACCGCATATGACTAGTGTTTAATCCTTTTAATCATTTCAGCTGACAGATCCATTCCTTCTACAGACCACGAGGGATCTTGTGTTGTCTGCGTGGACCAAAGAAGAAAAGCAACTCCTCGCTCCAAACCGCCATGCCTTGTAACTTGGCCACAAGTATGTCCAATTGGACTTTTTGGGTGTTCTTTTTCTTTCTGTTTGCTTTTAAAAAATAGCATGTTTGGAGATGACTGATTATGCTTGAGTCAACATCAGTATTACAGCTTTTTAAGAAGTCTTTCAGATGTTTTAAAGGTCAACTTTACTCATATTTTAGTACACTTAGTAGGAATGAAAGGCTTTTAAGTCATTCTCTGGGGGACAAAAAAGCTCCGGTGCGCCTGTATGAGGACGTAGAAGACAGCCAGAGGAAAAAGTGGCAGAAGACAGGAGGGTTTGGAGTCTTACTCCTGATATTTGGAGATCTAGACTCTGATTGGATAACAGCAATGCGACTCTACCACTTACGCTGTTTGCTTTGCAACGTTGATGTTTTATTTCCACAATTAACACAAGCCTGGATGAGCTTGCCGTGTTGTGGAGTAGCTAATGCTAATGGTTAGCTTCTACTAACTGAGACGTGCTCTGCTCTCTCCTGGACGCTACATCAAAAACAGCCTTCCCTGTATCGAGTCAAGCTGGGAGAGTCCATGAATGTTAAGTGACAGTGTGATGTAAATCTGTCAGGTTTTTCTGAACAGAGCTTTTTTCCAATTATTTTCAATCTGAAGCTAATACAGGAAATGGGGTAGAAGACTACTTCACATTCAGCTGCTGACCATTTTCAAAGACAATAAGTAAAAAATGGTTTCTCAGTGAACCTGCTCTTTAAAATAATTGAAAAAAAGTAGTAAGAAGTAATGTTTAGGCTAATCAAAGTGGAAGTAATATGTAAATAGAATAGTTTCTTCAATAAGTTGCAGGAAAACAAAAATTCTAGATTATCCATTTGTACTAAATGCATCCACAGATAAATAAGCAAAGAGTCTAAGCTCATCTGTGAAATTAAAGGACAAATTCTGGAGATGCTGAAATCAGACAATGAGGCGCGATATTTCCACAGCCGATATCTAATGTCAAGAATCCCTCAGGAAGCGTGTGAGGTAATCTAGCAACAGCAGGGAAGAAGGTGGGCAGTCAGCTGAATCAGGCAGGAAATCTGATTTATGGCCGGCATTCAATAAACGATTCCTCCCCAGACACCAAACCAATATTCCTTTAATAAGATTCACGAGCTAAATATGGCAGGGTTTGATTTTCCCTGAGACAAAGAATTTCCTGAACGTATGCTTTTTGTTTTTTTCTTTCCAAACACCAACCTTAGAAATAGTTGCAAATTTAAAAAAGACAGCCCAGAATAGGAAACCAGTCGCTATTAGGAAAGTTTTAACATGAGCCTTAAACAGTACACTGATCCAAGTCCCATATAAAAAAAATAAAACTCCAAAATTGCATTGCACTGCTTTATGTTCTTTCCTACTATTCTACTCTGGAAATTATTTATGAAAATGTTCTTATCTACAGATAAAAAACAGTTTTAATGGAATAATTAAGAGATTATCAATACAGAAAATAATGATAATCCAAGAAAGGGTTGCGATAAACTAAAACATCAGCTTTTTTGTTTTAATTTGATATTAACAATATTTTTTCATTAAATCCCATTTTCAGTACTTAAGTTAATTGGCATCAAGAGTTTGGTTGATTCTTCCAAAATGTGAAAAAATGGGTAAATATCAACTGCATTTAAGCTACATTGGCAAATCTGCATAACAAGCTCTTTTTTTCATATCCTTAACAACGTTCTAACATAGCATAGCTATAAATATATAGAGAGATTTAGAAAAAATGAAGTGGTTGTCTTGCAAAACTTCAGCCAATAACACGACTCGGACCAAAACAAACGATTGGACCATCCAGTTGTCCGTCCTACAGAACCACCGCACTTCCCTGGGTCCTCCACTCATTACTTGCTCAAGCATTTTGCAACAGAACGCCACCGGTGTGAGAAGTTCTCTGTTTATTAATATCAGAGAAGGAGAAACAGCCGGCTGCTACCACTTCAACTTTAGGACAAAAAAGCAGTCCCAAAATTTAAAAAAGCTGTTTGAAGTCATGGAAACAAAAGGAGTTTTGACTTAGAAAACAGCGACTGGTGTTTAGCTCGCTCTCGTGATCTCTGGTAATGCGGGTTCCAGTATCAGATGGACGTGACCCAGGGATGACAGCCGTAAGAAGGGCGAGAGAACAGTAACCGGGTTTGAGTTTAAAGCTAGCTTGTTTCGCGTTTTGTCGAACTCAATATAACATCATTGTGACATCATCACCATCCTTTACCATGTGTTTGGCATAATGGTTTAGAGGCTAAACACACATGAAAGTACTAAAATAAATACTTTTTGATTATTTTTTTTACACCATCTGCCTGAGAAAGTCAGAGAAGCAGAAAATGTTAATGCTACAATATCTTTGTGAACAGGGCCTTACTTTCCCAGGAAACACTTGGGGAAGGTGGTAAGCTTGCGTTTGCGGTCCTTAATGAGGTTCCCTTTGGTCATGAGGTGGTAGAGCTTCTCTCCTTTCTCTGAGACCATCACCCACGTGTCCTGCTCCATGCCAAGCCTCAGACCTAAGCAGAGGATGAAGGAGGAGTGGTTGTTGATATCACACCATTCCTAATGTCTTCACTTAACTCTCTGGCTAAACATCAATTCAATCAGAAGAAGGTAATGTCCTCTAACCCTTTGATGCATAATGGTCACTACAGTGGACAGGTACTCAATATTGTTATTTATTTGTTTTTGCTATTAAGCACAACCGTTGAAGACTTCATTGCATTTGAGCCCCTCCGTTTGGACTTCAGTAAGCCAAGCCAACATATTTCATGTTCAGAATGCACGCTGCCCACTGAAGTGGACATGTAATAAATTATTTGTAAATTATAAAATTTTACAAAAAAATATTTGCTGAAATTTGTTTCATTCACACCTAAAGACAAATGAAAAAATTGTTAAAAAAAATCATGGTTGAAGATTTCATAATTCATGCATCAAAGGGCTAATTTAGCAGGATAATTAGCACCACTTTTCTGATGTCTGCACCAACGTCTTAAGTGGGATCATAGCATTTGACTTAATGAAACTTTTATCTTGTCAAAACGATAAAACACATCATGCAACTCCAGCCTGAGGAGATCCATACTTTTCCTCCGCTCCCGTTCCTTCATGATGGCCTCCAGCCACTCCTGTTTCTCCTCCGGGGTCTTGGCCATGCAGACGAACCACTTGTTCTTGGCCGTGTTGTGGATCTTCCAGCCGTTGTTCACAATGTGTCCACTGCTGTGGTAATCAGCTGTCGAGCAGAGGGGAGGAAACTACAGTCTTAACCTTAAAAGTTTCATAAAATCTCTTAAAGCCATAATATGTAATTTTTTCATATCTGTAAATCATTTTCTTGAGCCAGTATGTGCTAAAATGACCCTGCAGGGTTAATGAAATATCACTCAGACCCACACCGCCCTCTGTGGACAGAATACCGCATTTGCAACTTCAGAGTGCCGGACCGGCCTGTTGGACTTAGAAAAAATTGAGCTGGCATACCTGCCGCTACAGTCTGCTTCCAGCATGTTTACTGCAAGTTTTAGATCATGAACACAGGTGATTTGTCTGATTTAGTGATGAATCACTCCTGTAGCTACTAATGAAGGCTGGGAGATGTTCCAGCTGTTAGATTAAGGTGTTAAAAAAGATGAACGCACAGAAAGGAGATAAGTTTCATTTTCGGGTCTACTAAACAGACACTAGTGGGTTAAAAGCTAAAAGCTGCTGAATAAAAGCCAACACATATAACCAAATATAACATTATGTGACTCAAATGGTAATAAAAAATCTGTATTCAAAGCATGAAGTGATTCATTGATTATTGCTGCTCTCTTTAATGAGATAAACGAGCAACCACACATTCGATGTTTGGTATATACATTTATCGTGACATTTTCTGTCTCTGTTTAACAAAACCTGTAAAAGTAAAGAGAGGTGGGTGTTTTTTTATGGCCCTGAGCTGACCTATGGTGCCTCCCAACAAAAAGTAAAACACCATAATCATCAATTATGATTATGTCTAAAAGCTTATATAGAGCGGTGTCCTCTGTATGGAATTCCTCGAGGGTGTGTTTCAGCCCTGGGCAGAGAGTGTGTTCCCGGGAAACGCAGAGGCACTTTCATTACGCAGGAATCCGAGCTAAAATACTCCCGTCCCTCTGGATCTCAGACTGCGATCTTCCGCCTGTGGTGCAGAACACCCGTGAGTTTCAGCGCTGCCCGCCTGCTCCAAGTGTTTATCCACTCGCTCTCTCCAGATCCAAACCCATCAATCTCCCACCAGAAACACAGAACACTGCTGTCCATCTAACATCTGCTGGAAAGAAAAAGATGGATTCTACAAATATAAATGATAATGAGCGGCTAGGAGAGGCCAAGAGACATAAAATGTGAGAGTTCACAAAGGAGCAGCAGTCCAGTCTCAAGGATACGTGACCGCAGATGTTTCATTTTATAAGCTAGCGTAACACACTTTAAAGGTGTATTAGAAGGAGTTCATTCACAATTGGAAACTGCTCTTTGATCTGCTGCATGAAAATTTGTTGTGGCTCACAATGGCCCAGGAGCCCCTTACTGAAGCCCTACAATGGAAAGACTGAATTACCCTGCCCACTTGTCCAGGACATGAATGTTAAATGAGCTGTGTGCTGATTGGCCAGTTAACCACTTTTAACTCTGTGTTCTGGGTGTGTGCTTGGGAGGAAGGGTTGTATACGACCAATTGAGGAATGAAGTGAGTGACCAGTGGACTCTGGAGAGGGAGTTTGCAGGCAAAAGACAGAGGATACGGCCCACGAGCTGTGGTTCTGCTTGGCATTCACTGCATCCTGGAAGTGAGTAGCACTTCCTTGTTGTTTTCCTCTCATTCAACAAGGACACTAGCAGCTCAAGCTAGTGTTAGCAGTAGTTCAGGCTAGCATTAGCAGTATTTGACACTGGTGTTGGCAGTAGCTTGGGCTAGCGTTAGCAGTAGCTCAGGCTAGTGTTGTCCTGCAGTTAGTATTACCGCAACCAATGTTTAAATATTGCAAACGTTGAAGTGGGGTTGGGAAATGCAGATTAAAGTGGGTGTGTCTTGTTTCTGACATGTTTAACCAGCTTTACTCAGAAAGCACTGTTTCTCTTACATTACAACATTACAAATTTAATCTTTTTATTTTTGACATTTTTATTTTTATCTTGAGAAGCGCTATATAAAAGATTTTTTCTTCTTCTACACCCCAAGGTAAATTTGGTTTTATATTCTAGGACGTCTTTAAACCACTAACTATAAAAACGTTTGTGTGTGGCCTGCCATGTTTTAATAGGATCTGAGAGTAGGTGGGCATAAATTGGAAGAAAATAAACCTAAAATAAATCTCTCACCAGTGCCGTCGTCCATATTTTCCACCTCCATCACTTCAGTGTTGATTCTCCCTCTGAACAGGTAGCGTGGTCCCTCAGTGGAGGCTTTGCTGTTTTTTAAACGCCTTTGACAAATAATTTATTGTTAGCACTTGATGTGACAACACTCACACTTATAATTAATTCAGATTTTTAAAAGTAAATCACAGTTGAAGAAATGACTGCTCTTTCTTTTGTGGGGAGCGGGACGTTTCTCCTTTCGTTTGTAAAACATGACAACATTTCAGGAACATAAAAGGAAATCAAAGCAGGTGACAGCTGGCGAGGGAGAGGAAAAAGCTGCTAAAAACCCTTGGAACAGATGAAGCGGCATTGTTAGTAGCTGTATCAGTAGATCAGAGTTAGCAGCAGCAGCAGAAACAGAAAAAAACTTCATATAAATTGGTTATTTATCAAGGGCACTGCCTGCAGAAACACTGTAATAAGTTTCCTTTTTAAACATGCACTGATCATAATAAATGTCTTGTCATTAAGTGTAATGATATATTAAATGAGAGCTACCATGACAGAAAAAAATAAGGCGTTAAGTGATGGTGTTTAATATCTCTGCAATGATTAAACACATGCTCCCAGGTTTAAAAAGGAAACCAAGCTTGTAAAAGCTCTTTATTTCCTACACAAAGAAATCTTATCAGTAAAAAATGATAAAGATTTTTCCCTGCAGAAACATAGACAAAGAATCTGTACATTAGCATATTTTTAATAATTACGCCCCACTAATATGAAGTTAGGTTCATTTGATCCCTTGTGGTTTAAGTATAGTAAAATGAAAGTACAAACACCTGTTTTTCTTCTTGCAATACACCAAAAGCTTGTCAAACAGGAAGAAAATCCTCTCTTGTATGTTTCCTGCTGAAATCTTTAAAAGGACGCCTTGCATCAGCATCTCCGTGCATGTATCTGTGATGTTGGAGCCCTGGAGATGGACATCCAGAAGATGAAGGAACAAAAAAAGATGACATGCTTAAAATGAGAACAGTTAAATATGCAGGGTTTTATGTGCTTATTAATAGAAAATCTAAAGGATTAATATATATATATATATATATATATATATATATATATATATATATATATATATATATATAGGGGTGGGAAGCATACAGTAACTCTCAGCAGAACTTCCCCTGAACTCTACACTACACAACATTTACAATGTTCCATGTCCATTAAAATAGACCTTGTGGTTACAGAAATATACCCATTAAAGTGTGGGTACGTCATCTGTGCCTCACTAAAACCATTTTCATTTTTTAAAAAATTGCTTGGCTGCAAATTTTCCTGAATGATTAAATGTGATTAATCAAGAGTAATTAATCACAAAGCCTCTAATTAATTAGATTAATTGTTTTAATCGAGTTCCACCCATAATATTTTTGCTAGAGAGAGCTTGTTTCTTTATCCGTCAGAGTTCAGGCGTACAGCCCAGCCTTTCCTGGTCCCTCTCTCAGGGGTCTGTGAAAACACTCCCAGCTTCCTCAGACCAGATTGCTGTGGGACTTTAAAACACAGGGTGGTTAATAGCTTGTATAGAACAACATCCTGTCCAGATATGTGCTGCGTTGTCACGCCTGGTCACCATATTTGTTGAGTTCCTGCTGAAAGTGATAAAGTCTGTTTTCTTTTCCCTCATCTTCGACACCGGGAATTTATGTTCCCCCATTTGATCAGCCTCTCTGAGCTAAAAATAACTACCCTGGAGACAAATAAATGTGCTAAGCATTTCCTGCTGTAGGAGACATCGACGGGACAAAACTTATCAGGCTTTCTTTTCCTTCTTCTTTTGGCCTTTTCACCTTTCTTTCCTTTTTTTGAGCTGTTTTCACTTTTCTTCTGTGTTCCTCTGTCTTTTTATTCCTTCCTCCACCCATTTTTCTTTTTTTTTTGTCTCCCCCCACTCTCACCCCCCTTGACCAGATGTTAAACTAATTTGCAGCATGTGAATGTGCGCACACCAACCACAGAAACTTGTCACTTGATAGATCCAAAAGGATTTGAGACAATAAAGCTTTATTTCTCCAAATGGACACATTTTATGTTACACGATACTTCATCTAATTTGATCAGCGCGGAGCTTTTTAATATGCAGTTTTCTTATTAGAATCCTACAAGAGTCGAAGCTTCAGCAAGCACCAGTCTCATTTAATTTCCATCATTTGCCAGAAAATGAAGATTAAAAGCTATAAATGACAAAACAAAATCAAGAAAAAGGATGATTTTTTTGAGAGCTCTGATGAAACAAGAGAAGAGAAAAAAAGGCAAAAAGCAAATGGAAATTATTATCCTTATGTCTAAAATTACAGCATTACTATGAGACACTGTGACAAAACACAGACACTTGCAATGCTAACTAGTTGGCAATAACCATCCAGGCAAGTGCTGGCAGTCATCGCCATGGTGCCCACAGCAGGCCATCGCCCTGCCTCTCCCACGCAGTGTGTGTGAACCTGCCAGGAGGCCCTGAGGGTGGCCAGCACTCGAGCGGGTCGGCACTAATGAGCAACCACCCTGGACAGAAGAACAGGGGTGGAAAAATCTCACAACCCCTCCATCATTCCTCCAACACACACAACGTAAATGCAACCATCTCTCCACTCTGCTTTTCTCTACTCCCTCTTCTTTTTCAGTTCCATCTCGTTTTTGAGCTGCAAATCCCAGCGAGACTGGCGTGCAGCAGTCAGGAGAATCCCGCTCCAGAATGAGCTAATGTTCACAATTAATAAAAGTGCTGAGAGGGAAACCGCAGAGGAGCTGCAGCCAAGACTGTGTCGAGTACACAATGACAACCCGCCCAGTAATAAAGCTGTTCCTGATCGCACTATTCTTAGACTTTTAGCTGTTTGTGTCTGGTCCTGTTGGCTTCATCAGAACGTGATCTCCAGCTTTCGCTGGAGCGGTTCACAGCCCCGGATGAGAATCAGCTCCTCTAAATCTAAGACTGTGTTCTTGAGTCGGAAAAGGGTAGAAGGCCTTCTCCAGGTCAGTGATGAGGTCCTGCTTCAAGTGGAGGAGTTAAAGAATCTCTTGTTCACGAATGAGGGAAAGATGGAGCGCAAGATCAATGGGCAGATTGGTGCTGCGTCTGCAGCGATGCAGGCGTTGTACCGGTCTGTCGTGGTGGAGAAAGAGCCGAGTTGGAAGGCAAAGCTCTACGTTCCTATCTTCATCTATAGTCTCAAGCTTTGGGTAGTGACTGAAAGATTGAGATCGCCACTCCGCAGGGTGGCTGGTCTCTCCCTTAGAGATAGGGTGAGAAGCTCGGCCATCCAGGAGGGGCTCGGAGTAGATCTGCTGCTCCTCCACATCAAGAGGAGCCAGTTGAGGTAGCTCAGGCATCTGGTTAGGATGCCACCTGGACGCCTCCCTGGTGAGGTTTTATGGGCACGTCCAACCGGGAGGGGACCTAAAGGAAGACCCAGGACACGCTGAAGAGACAATGTTTCTCGGCTGGCCAGGGAACACCTTAGGATTACTTGGAAGGAGCTGGCCCAACTGGCTGGGGAGAGGGAAGTCTGCTTAGGCTGCTGCCCCCGCGACCCGACCCCAGATAAGCAGAGGAAAATGGATATATGGATGGGTCTCTGAGTTCAACAGAAATCAGCTGAAACTTCTTTCTAGTAGCCTGCTTTAAACAACTAAACACTAAATATGTAATGATATCATTAAAATTAACTGTTTAAAATACTACAACAGTGTTTTTGGTGTGAAAATTGTGAATATTACCATATTTCCTCACAGAAATATCCTTGTATTCTGTAGAATTGATAAAGTAACAATTAGTCTGAACCAAACTTAACTACTTTACACTGAAATTCATATAAAAAAGCCACAAAATCTGTCTAGGACCTTCTTTAACTCAATCAATGTCTCTTGAGGGTCACCCAAAAACATTGGTCCAAAACTGTTTTTATCACTTAAGAAATATCTCCAAACTGCGAAGGTTGGTGTCAAAACATGAACGTGAAATGGTTCTCCATGCCTTTATCTCCTCCCGTCTAGATTACTGTAACACACTCTTCACGTGTTTAAACAAAAAAGCCCTTGACCGCCTTCTGTTGGTCCAGAACTCTGCAGCGAGGCTCCTAACTGGAACAAACAGAAAAGCACACATCACTCCTATTCTGATGTCTCTGCACTGGCTACCCGTTAACTTTAGAGTTCATTTTAGAGTCCTGACTATAACTTTCAATGCTCTACATGATCAAGCTCTTCCCTATATTACTGAACTGTTAAAGCCTTATGCTCCGACCCGAGCCCTCAGGTCCACACACCAGAACCTTCTAGAAGTTCCAAAGACCAGATATAAAAGTCGAGGTGAACGCTCCTTCCAGACTGTAGCACCCCAACTCTAGAATGATCTTCCTTTATCCGTATGCAGCATTTACAGTCTGGGCACTTCTAAAAAACAGCTAAAGACCCTTTTATTTAAAGCTGCTTTTAACAAAATCTTTTATTTTATTATTTTTAACTCAAAATTTTAATCTTTCATCTTTTGATGAAAATGTACAATTTTATGACTTTATTTTTTCTGATGTTAATCTGATTCTGTTTTGAGATCATTATGATTTTATGACTTTGTTTTATTTTGTTTTGATCTATGTGAAGCACTTTGTGATTCTATGTCTGTGATAAGTGCTATACAAACAAAATTTGCTTACTTTAACTAAAACAGTGTGAATTATATATAAACTATAACCTCTCGCCTCATAATAACAACCATTTAGACCAATTTAGTGTCAGTTCTTGAAGGAGAAAAACAGTCTGCCTCAGAATAATTACATCACTTTTGTCTTTAAAGCAACACTAAAGAGTTTTTACCCTTTAACATTTCTGTGTCCCACCCGCGGGATTTGATCAACTTCCTGTTCTCGGATTAACACCGCAACAATGTATATGTAAACATATAAAAACTAAACATCATTGGAAAGCTAAGATTCTTGACATTCCTATTGTGCATGCCAATCAATTACACAATCATAGCTGTAGACACAGTAAACACTTTTGTCAAACCACTCGCAAATGCTAAATAACCATACTCTTATCTTTGATGCTTAATAAGATTTACAGAATGCAGCTATCGTGAACGAAAGCAATCTTTTTGTATTCAAAAGGGTCCAATAAAAGAACTCCAGTAAAATAGTTGGCTCACAATAAGTCTCATGTCCACAATCCAACTTAATGTGCTACTGAACGACTTCCAATACTCAAGTTTGTCGTCATGTTTTGTTCATAATAGCTGTTAGCTTCCCTGTGGTTGCTTCCAACATTTACACAACTAAACACAGCCACACTATGGCTAAGCTTTTGATTGTCATTTTACATGATCCAATAGGTGATGGTTTACCTCTTCTGCTAAAAGCTTTTACTATAGGCCAATGACTAAAAGGTCCCTCCCTCTTTTGTGATGGTTGAAGTTCGACCCTATCACAAAGCAGTTTGTGGAGACCTGTGGAGACCATGGACAGCTCCTTCAGAGGCAGACTGAGACATCCCAGATGTAAAACAGAATGCTGCCGTAGCTCATTCATCCCCTCTGCAGTAAGAGTGTATAACTCTTCAGTTTAACTGGTACTGGCATTATCCTGGTACACAAAAACATCAATAATACTGGATTTACACAGTATGTCTGTGTCCCTTTATGCTGCATAGCTTTGTAACCCAGGGTTTTTATTTTTATTCGTGGTTTTTAGTGGTCGAAAGTTACAGTAATAGTTTACAGCCTATGTGTATATACATGTACCTTTATAATTATTTATCTTCAATTGATTCTCATAAGTGTTGGTGCTGCAGTAACAATGTGAATTTGCCCACTGTGAGACCAATAAAGTCTGTTATATTATATTTGTTGGTGATTCAAACATCAACTAGATACGAGGTATCTAACATGTGGGGGTCGGTGCAAAGTGTGAATGTAAACAAACTCTCACACATCAACAGTTTGGAGAGATAGGTATCGCTGCCTGATCACTACACACATCAGTGTGTCTCCTTTACTCTTTAGAGCGCATCTGGATGAGGGATAGGACAGTCCCATGTGTAACCTTTCATTAGAGCCCAAGATCATGACTCTATGTTAAAGTGTTAAAAAAAGAGACTTTTTCCCAAAGTATTGGGCAATGGTCTTCAAATCGCACACTTTTAAAACACTTTTGACACGCCTGGACCTCTTATAAAAACGTGCCAAATACAATTTTTTGGGTTTATTACTGTAAAATCTGGTGTGGTGTGGGACAATGTAAAACTTCAGGCTGTGTTTTCCAGTCCATATCTCATTGCTAATGTCATTTTGAAAGCATGTATATTATAAAAATGAATAGGCGACCATAACATTCATATTTTTAAGTGCATTAAAGCTCATATTACTCTATGACAATATCACTTAGACAATTTTTGACTATTGTGAGGAAAATCCCAAGTGTTTACTTTCAAAAGACACCTCAACCATGCCTCTATTCCAAATGGTTCAAGAATAGCTTTGCACTAGGGTGAGGCTTCTACCTGTTTTACAACAAGAGCTGTTTCCTCTACCAGTAGCTAATATAAAGGCTAGCAATTAGCATTTTCTGTCTACCAGCCATCAATAAAAAGCACAAGATAAAGAGAAGAAATTTGCTTTTTTGTAAGCATCATGGTGGAGCCTAGAAGTAAAAGAAAGATAATAATGTATTTGAAGACAAAGCAAAGAGCTAAAACCAGATGAACAATGGTGCAGCCTACACCCATTTAAGGGAGCTAAAGGAGGCTGATGATGACCTGGCTTTGTTGCTACTGGACTTGTAAGTATTTATATTATTGCCCAACAGTGTGGATTTTTTCATTTTCTGGCTTATTTAGTATCAGTTGCCATGTGTTAGCATTAGCTCATTGTTAGCACTAGCTACAACAGACTGCAGCAGGGTTGTTTATGATACTTGTAATTCCACTTTCAACCAGTAGGGGGAAGAAGAAGAAAACTTATTTAGTGTTGCTTTAAATATTTTATGACTTCCAGCTGATGGAAGAATTCTCACATATTGACTAAATCTTTCATTTCAGTGTTGTGACGGCCCACCTCCCAGCCCTCGATATGGGACTGCCACTCTTCTAAAATCTCCAACTTCTCCATCTGCCTTTTGGCTTCGTTAATGCTGGAGCACACGGCCTTCATCAGCTGCAGAGACTCGTGGACCAGGCCGTAGTCATTGTGCTTCTTAGGGGTCCTCTTCAGCAGCTCCTTTTGAACATACAGATAAAAAAAACACACAGGAAATGTACACACTCTGATTTTAAAAGATGTCAGCGGTCTGGAAAATGTCCTACATCCTACTGTAGATAAGGCGTGAAAATACGGCGTTCCCATCCACTCCACATTTCACCCCCCCAAAGACTCTAAGGCTCTGTCCAATTCCACCTTCCAGCAAAAGTGGAAGGAATGTCAAAGTTGAGCGATGGTGTTCCAGCATGCCAGTCACCACCAGGCTGATTTACACTCCTCTGGATATTTCTGCGGCCGCTGATGGCTATCTGTGCCACTTCATGGAGAGGAGGAGGCCCCAGCAGCTGGAAACCTTCAACTGCCAAGGCATTAGATTACCTCCTTATTATTATTAAAACCTCATCCGAGCCCCTGCTGATGGCTGCTTGGAGGGTGCCTGGGTGAATTAATAGATCATAATAAGATAAATGAGATGGGACAGCTCACTGGAATAAGCCTCTGAAACTGTACAGCTTCTCACTCACGTTTCACGCTGGAAAAAGGGAAACGTCTAGAACTAACGACTGCAGGTGTGCAAAGTGTCTGAACTTACAGCGAGACGCAGGAGGTGATGATGGGTTATTCCTGAAATGTGGCTGAATGGCAGGACTAAAGTAAAGACGTGTCAGAATACGAGGTTGGCGTTTCATTAGAAAGGGAGAGGCTGATGTGTGGCAGACTTGACAGGCCTCACTAATGACTGAGGAGAAGAAGGAGGTGCCTTACAGCAGCACCGCATGGGTGTGGTAACTCTGGAAACACATGGCTGGCACGCACAGGACCGTACTCACTTTGAGCAGCAGCGGGTACTTGCAAATCCTCTGAATAGGTGCTACCAGATAGCCTTCAAGTGGGACTTCTGTGTTTTTTCTGCCTCCCAGCAACATGCAGTTCTGTTGGAGAAGAGAGGAAAATGTGAAGCCGGATCTACGAGCAGGAAGAGCAACATTAGCTTAAATTAACAAAGCCTAGTTTATAATTCTCTGACAGCTCCAGTGCGGAGTCGTGCACACACACTGGATGGAGCCGTTTTCCTCTCAGACTTTGATGCCTGAGGAGTGTTGCAAAGAAATTCCCAAGAACAACAGAGCGCGTAGCGTTTTTCTGGCGGTCTCTGGTCCACGATGATGTATTTATTTAATGTATTTGATATAGTCCCTTCTAGAGTCCTAGACCCCCCCATCCCAAGGCACTTTACAATGCAATCAGTCATCTACATTCACGCCCTGGGGGTGATGAGCTACAATATAGCCACAGCTGCCATGGAGAGCACTGGCACAGTAGAGATGCTGTACACGGGTGCCACCGGTCTCTTCGACCACCACCAGCAAGTAAGGTGGCTTAAGTGTCTTGCCCAAGGACACAACAACACTTCTTTATACGGTCGGCTACCTCCAAACCCACGTTTCCCGTTATTTCCTTCCACAAATAAAATATCTGCCGCATATCTTTGATAGCCATCAATGACGAGCTGTATTAACATTCATATTGTTGGACCTCTCCCACTAGATGTTCTTCATTCTGCTCCGTGTCCGCCATTCGATATCTTTGGTACTTTTTAAATTTTTTTTTGGGGGGGGGGGGGTTTGATTTATTTAAAGCAGGGGTGGGGAAACCTGGTCCATCGAGGGCCGCTATCCAGCATATTTTAGTTTCAACCCTGCATCATCACACCTGATTTCAATCAGCAGGTGATTAACGGGCTTCTGTAGAGCCTGATGAGCTGCAGAACAGGTGAATCAACTACTGAATAAGAAGTGTTGGAGCAAAGATGTGCAGGATACCGGCCCTCGAGGACCAGGGTTCCCCACGCCTGAGTTAAAGGAATCGGTGTGCTGTCCATTACAGGCCTGCACTCTCCATAGTTTTTGACGGACAGTTAAAAAGTGGGCATGTCTCCACCAACCTCTGCAGACCTGCCACAGAGCGCTTGTGTTGATGGATGTCGACTGGATCAATAGAAAAGTATAAACTAGGCTTAACCTTTCATGCTTTAGTGTTTTTGAGTGAACAATTTACCAAACTAAATAAACAGTGATATTTTAGGCATTTGTTTAACCAAGCAAAAACAGATTAAGAACAAACTCTTATTTATTTATTTATTCCAACTGTGGCTGGGCTATGCCTTGTGAGGGGAAATGAAAATGGGGCTGAAAGCAATAAAAAAAGGGGGGGGGTGGAATTGATGCATGCGGAGCGCTTGCCTTCCATGCTTCTGTGTGGGGGAGATTTCGTAGACGTGGCGCTGGAATTTCAGTCGTGGAGCGTTGCTACTTCCGAGCCTATGTAGGGAAAACGGTGCCGTTTGCTTTGCAATGTTGATATTTTTTCTCCACAAATAACAGAAGCCCGAAGGAGTTCTGCCGTGTTGTGGAGTTGCTAAAGCTAACAGTTAGCTTCTACTAGTCGAGGCGTTCTCTGCCATTTCCTGGACACTAAACCAACAACAGTCTTCCCCGTCGTGAGTCAAGATGGGTGAGTCCATGAATGTTATGTGACAGTGTGACGTAGATCTGTGAGGATTTTCAAACCGTTTATTTTCTATCAAACGCTAAAGCAGGAGATAGATGTAGGAGACTATTTTCATGTTCAGTGTAGTGTACATTAAAAACTCAAAGTCTTCGTCTTCGTCTTCCTCCGCTTATCCGGGTCCGGGTCGCGGGGGCAGCATCCCAATTAGGGAGCTCCAGGCCGTCCTCTCCCCGGCCTTGTCCACCAGCTCCTCCGGCAGGACCCCAAGGCGTTCCCGGACCAGATTGGAGATGTAACCTCTCCAACGTGTCCTGGGTCGACCCGGGGGCCTTCTGCCGGCAGGACATGCCCGAAACACCTCCCCGGGGAGGCGTCCAGGAGGCATCCTGACCAGATGCCCAAACCACCTCAACTGGCTCCTTTCGATCCGGAGGAGCAGCGGTTCTACTCCGAGTCCCTCCCGAATGTCCGAGCTCCTCACCCTATCTCTAAGGCTGAGCCCGGCCACCCTACGGAGGAAACTCATTTCGGCCGCTTGTATCCGCACGGACCAAGGAGTCTAACGCACGCGCGAGTCAGAGGGTCCTACTCGAAACCCCGTGGCGCAATGAAAGTGAAGGCCGGCGCGCGCCGGCCGAGGTGGGATCCCGGGCCCCTCGCGGTTCCCGGGCGCACCACCGGCCCGTCTCGCCCGCTCCGTCGGGGAGGTGGAGCTAGAGCGCGTGCGATAGGACCCGAAAGATGGTGAACTATGCCTGGGCAGGGCGAAGCCAGAGGAAACTCTGGTGGAGGCCCGTAGCGGTCCTGACGTGCAAAAACTCAAAGTGACAGATTATAATAAAAAAAAGATTTAAATTTTTTTCAGTGTTCCACACCTTTAATTTCCAATACTACTATATGGTGTGGAGGGTTTAGCGTCTGCTGTTCTGTCTGAAGCGGCTGTCCAAGGACTGAAGACTACATATAGAGTTGAAAGATTTGTTGCTAGTCACTCTTAAAGTTAACATACTAATGGTACTAACAGAAAAAAAGAAGGATAGAGTCTGAATTTGCAAACAATCTGTCAGAAAAATTTATCAAATGCATGAAACGTTGTTTAAACTAAGTCAAGGGCAACCATTTCAAACAATAATCCAACATTGTAGGTATTTTCTTAATTTTACATGACAACCATTAGGATCTAACTGAAATCTCTGTGGTTAAAAATCTCTTTTATACACAGTATTCAATCTGTGTTAATCCCAAAACACATTCTTGCTAGAGATCAAATGAAGGCTTAGCATGCATGCAGTGAAATAACTGGAACATAAGGAGAAAAAAAACAGGAACAAAAAAGATTTATCTTGATTCTTAGATTTGGTTGTTCCCAAAGAAAACCCGCTGCCCACTGTGGAGTCCCTTAAGCCCCTTCTGTGTCTGAGAGATTATGTCAGTGTAAAAAGCACATGGCAGTTGGCTTGGTCTTTGCAATATGCCATTTTTCCCAATACTCCCACTCTAAGACCGCAAATGGAGTGGACATTTCTTTAGTTATACAAAATGCTGCAAAAAACCAGTAGTTATACTGAGAGGCTCAACGTCTTTTTACACTTTGCTCTGCAAGAACGAGGGCGAGTATAAAAGACCAGAAGTTTGACCCAATGCATGCAATTTCCTGTCTCAGCTGCTTCTTTCATTCAGCTCTGCATATTTGTTGCTATATCACAACGGCCCGCTCCTTCTCACCCAGGTAGTCTCTCGAGTCTGGATCCCTCCTCCCCTGGACTATAAACACTAATGCCCAGTTTCTCCATGTAGCTAGTGGGAAGTTCAATATTTACAGTTGTGAAAAAGTGATTTCTTTCTTATTTCGTCTGCGCTTGAAATAATAACAAAAACTCAAAAATGGATTTTGGCTGTGAGAGGAACTGGATCACTGTCCAGTCTTCCTGATGAATCAGCAGGAATGGTTGACTTTTATTTTCAGAAGCTCTCAAAAACCGAGCCAGAATATGACAGTGATTGCACGGGCTGCCAGTATCGGAATGGGTTTTCAGATGGATTACTTCTTCAAACTGGCGCCATTCCAACGTTAAAACCACCTGATGGAGAGTTAAACCAAAATGCTAACCATTAGCCGCAAGCTTAATTGGGTATAAAGTTTAGTGGGTGAGCGCAAGGGGGGTCGTGAATGCCTGTGTGAATCGGCAGTTTCCACGTCTACAGATGCGTATTACTCTGGAATTTACATCGGAGGAAGCAGGGTTTTTATTTCCTGGTTGAAGGAATGGCTCGCAAAAATGACATATAATTCATAAAAAATGACATCTCAATACTGCCAATGGTAATATTTTACAATATATTGTGACTCTTTGCTCTGAAAGGAGCAAAACAGCATGATACAGGTCCTTTAAAACATCTAAAGAAACTGGGTGGTAATTATGAATCATTGGCCAGATTGAAGTGACTTTTACCAACATGTAGTCAACTGTTGACCACCATTCATACTTCCCCATCCATCTGTCCTTTTTACCCCTTTATCCGAGTCCAGGTTGCAAGGGTGACAGCTTGAGCAGAAAGGCCCCAACAGCCTTGTTCCAGGCAACCACCAACAGCTCCACTAGTGAAATTCCTAGACGTCCCCTAGCCAATATGGAGATATGATCCCACAAATGTTTCATGGTGGGATCCTTATGTTTCCCCCAACCCAAACCTTTTCCGACTGAGTCCCACTTGCGTTCTCACTTAAACTTTAGACAAAGAATTGCCAATTTAGAGTGTGAACAGTAAACCAAACTGTGTAACAGTCATAGGGCCAAAGCTTTACTGGAGGTTAATGTGTGACCTCATTCTGGTTAATACACAGTCTAGACCTGAGGTTATGTAACCAAAATAAAGCAGCTGGGAAGGTAACAAGAAACCCTGATTGAAGA